ACAAACAGGGACTGTGCCAGTCCCAGACTAGAGTGAATCAACACTTGATTCCATTGAGGAATGAAAGAGATCAAGCACATTTCAAGCTGATACCTCTTCTCATTGGGGGAATTGAGGGGTCGTAAAACCCAGATGGAAGGGACACAACAATCTTCTCTCTTCAGATATGGTGTGAAAGAGATGGGGTGAGCGAGGGGCTCTCTTATCAATCCATCAAACTCAAGGATGTTTCACGCAAAGCAGAGAAATGTCAATTCCAAATTGAATCCTCTTGTGAGGCGTTGAGCTCGACTAGAAAAGGGCCGGTCACACGAGGGTTTAAATAGAAATCTATTTTCTGGTCTGAAATCAAACTGGCCATCATTCTGTCCTGGCACACCTCTCTCCCTGGGACTTGTCACATTTATAACATGTAGTCATTTTCTCAGCTGTCAAACGATGCTCTTACCAGGCTCCGTCCCTCTACTAGATCTGTCAGCCTCGTACTCTTATTTGATCGAATGTATCTCCATCTCATTCAATGTTTACATGTGTAGGTGTGCGCTATCAATAAATCAATTTGTATTTAAAAATACGTCCCTGAACAAAGAGACTCTCAAATCGCACTGATTTATTATTAATGCATACGTTCTGTAAAGGTCCAAGCGGAGTAGGTCATGACAGAGGTTAGTACTGAGTTAGCGGCTGTCACTGCTTGGACAGGAGGATGCAGACACCAGGGCAGCTCTCAGACTCTCACTCACAGTCACACACACTCACAGGCGTGCGGCAAAGACTTCTGAAACTCTGCGGTGTCCTGTCATGGAGCTGAGCCAGCAGGCCGTGACACACATGGAGGTCAGTGTCTGGAACAGGCGGATGTGTCCGGTCTGTCTTCCGCACACATGCAGGAGATTGTGTTTGGGTGTGACAGGGTTGCTTGACCTGCCAGAACTCAAACAGTTTGCCCTTGCAGAGAAAAAATTCAAATCAGAGGGACTTTGCCACTTTTTCAGCTCCCTTTGATGTCTTTTTGCAGAAGATTTTTCTGGCAGCTGTCCAGTGCTCAAATATTTTCCTAGTCTCTGTGCAGGCAAATCTTCATAAGCTTTTGTTTCTGCATTCACTTCTGAAAGTTGACTTGTGGAAATCTTTCTCATTACTTCTGTCTTCTAATAGATCAAACTCTCTTCTAAAAACATAATGATCCAAGCTGTTTCTGTTGTTTCTGCTATGCAAGTCAACGATTTTTTTTCCCTCTTTTTTTTTTTCTGATGTTCTAAGTCTCTTCGGTTTCCATCCTCAAAAAGTCTGGGATAATTATGGGAGTAAAAAGCCTCACTATCAGAGCAGATTAACAACATCTCGCTGGGCTGAACTCCTCACTCCCTTTTATCTCCTCAAACGCTGAAGAAGAGAAGAGGAGTTATGCAACCTCCACCTCAGGGACCCAGCTGACTTTCCACCCAACTTCTGTCTGTCTCTCCATGTCTAGGGCGTCTGTTAGTCCTCTGTGCCATTTGATGTGCTTGTTTGAAGCAGCCGAGCGACCGGGGAGATGAGGATGTGCCTGTTGTTCACATCTCTTTGCTGCTTTGCTCCATTCCCTGGAGAAGCCACTTTCAAAGTGTGGCAAAGTTGGACCTTTCCTGGTTCTACATTTAACACCTTCTCAAATCGCAGAGCCAAGGTGCTCTATAGCTTTTTAGTCTCCTCTCTCCCTTTTATCATTCCCTCCAAAGACCCTCCTCTCATTAGCAAAGGCCTGCCCTCTCTCTGCTGTCATTTAATTAAAACACATCATTTAAAGTAAATGAACATCTGCTTCAGTGCCCAGAAGCCACTTTAACACACATATACCCTAATGCCATGTTAATTTTCTTACTTCCTAAAAGAGTGTGTGATCTTGACAGCTTGATCAGATTTATTATGCAACAACAACAAAAAAAGGCTTTGTAAGAGTTACAAGTGCCTCGTTGCCAATTGATCACAAGCAGCTCATATTCCCTTTGTGAAAAATATATGAAAAACAAAGTTGATCTGCTTTGTTTTTCTTCTGGATTTTTCTGTTTAATAACCATCTGCAGAATTTATGAAGGCCTGTAATATCAACAACAGTTGGGCATAACCCCATTTGAACCAGCTCCCAGTCTTAGAGCCGGCTATCAGCATACGCTTTGATTGAAAGATGATTTTATTGATTCAGAAGTAGGGCTATATTGATATTTGGTTTTAGCCTCACAATTATAAAGGCCATAGAATACCAGGTTGCTAATTGTGATGTTCACCTACTGACTCTTACGAGCAACTTGCAAAACTGTTTACCTCGGGTCCTGGAGTTTGTCACTTTATGCTAGTTGTAGAAGTCCTGCAAACATTGTGTTTGTTGGTAGTCTGTTGGCATCTACAGTAGCACCAATGCTGTTTACTTTCACGTTGACTGGGCCCCATTTTTAATTATCTTAAATATTTATCTGAATTTGATTGGAACGATATACAAGCTAACATGAGCGTCTGCTTGTGGGCGGGGCTTTCTGGAGCAGAGAGTGAGGGGCTGTGGGGAAAACTGGTTGGGAGAGGTAGTGTTTACATACAAGATTTCTCCCAAAAACTAGCACTTCCTCAGATCCTGCCTACCCCACCTTTCAATCTATGTTTCTGTTTTTTAGTTTTTTTTATTTGGGTGGGGGAGTTTTACATTTTTGATATCTATCTCATCTGGCAACAAGTTGGTGTTTATGACGGATAAGTTTCCATAAAATAGTGAAGCTCAGTTCACTTTGTCCTCTGTAACTGCCTTGGACTCAAATCAATAAAGGCAAACACTGTATGTTGGGGACACTATATCCTCCTTGCTGTTCAAAACTTCATAACAACAAAACGCCTGTGTAAAAAAAATTATTTTATCCAGAAGTATTAATACTGATCAGAGCTCTCTCGACTAAAATGTAACATTTCAACTACTCTGAAAGGGTTCTTTCTCTGATATTTCATATCTGTAATGTTTAGTTCAGATAACATCTAAGAAATCAAAATCCAATTTGCATGTTCGCCTTTCAAAGGGTTTGTGTGCACTCAGCAGGAAATCACACATCAGAAATTTCAATTAAGAACATTTCTCTTAGAAAGCCATGTAAACCCCTGCTGGTATTTCCATCATAATAGTTCCCCTGCCTGTGTGATTCCCTCAGTGAAGGATAGAAAAACATTGCAGCATGCAAGCACAGGTCTAAATCTCAATCCATAGGGTACTGTACATAAATAGGATGAGACTGAATAGCTAGGGAGTTGATACTCTTTTAAAGGCTGGTATAATCATTATTAATACTTTTTGTGGTTACATTTTTTTCTTCCAAAAATCTGTCTCATTTACAGACATCAGTGGGATTATTGACCACTGGGTCTTTTAGCAAATGAAATGCAGCTTTGGAATACATTCAAATTCAGTGTGGCAAACCACATCACTGCTGCCTTCAGGACAGTTTAGCTGGAACTTGAGACCACATACCTCTGTTTCCTTGCAGCTAAAAACTGCAGGACTGACCCTTGAGAGTCACTAAAAGATGTGCTGTCTACCCCAGTTTCACACTCTCACTCAGAAGAGTCCATTTGCTGCAGAGATTTTTAGAACTTAGCCCTTAAAGTAAAGTTCAAACATGTTTTTGCAGCTATGAAATATGGTGTAAAATGTCATTTTAACCGTACACTAAAAGGGAATGGGTTCTCATTGGAGGTGCATACTCATTCTGTAGTATATTACTCAAGCAGTATAGAAACTGTAAGAAATAAATCAAACACATCACCAAACACATACATCAATCCAGTGAATCTCTGTCAGTAACTGTCTCCTGCAGTAATATCTAGTCATTTCAATTATAAATATTGAAGTGAAATCACACCACAGAGACAAAGAGGTGATAGTACTGCGCTGCGCTGCTTCCTTGGGGTCTGACAGTTGAGTCATCTCTTGATATAAAATTATACACCGTGTCACCTCTCATCTAAATTTGGTCCACCCCCAGATAATGTGGGCACACTAAAACTAAAAACAGCAGCTGCTGCACATGACAAGCTCTGCAATGAAATTCAGCAATAACAGAAAGCAAAAGGTAATGAGGAATTTTAACTCTCATGAAAAGAGTTCCCAAAAAATGTTATTTGCACAGAGGAGTAATTCCAGTGCACCTTAACTTAAACCTCTCATTGTCCTAAAAGCCTCTTAGACTTGGGGTTAGTCCTGAGTCAAGGTTAAGGACAAAGGGTGATCGAGTGTTCACATTTAAGAGTCCAGACTGATTTTTACACATTTGCTTTTTTTTCTCACCTTTTTATCAAGTATACTGCTTTTTATTTCTTCTGAATTTTAATACTCTCTAATGTCGTTTTCTTTTTGATTATATATTTGTTCATCTGTTTTCTAGGCTCGAGTGTCAGCTTGCATTTTATTGTGCATATTTCTTAAAATGTGTCTTAAGGGCTGTTTCTTTAGTGCTGTGAAATGTGCTCTGCTAAAAAAAAAAAAAAAGTGCAATAAATACCTTTATTATCTTAAATGTTGATACTTAAAAGATTCAACCCCAGAGGAAACATGACAGAAACCCTGACGGATCCACTAATCTGACCTACTTATATTTTATGATATGGCACATCCTGAATTGTATCACTCTGTGAAGCCCTCACCACTAAATGTCACAGCAAACATGCATGCCATCGTTTGTCAAACTACCTGTCTGTTTTACTCAACTATGCTAGACTCAAAGGGCAGAAAGACTGACAGCTAAAGAAGTTCAAAAGTATCAACACACGCTGAGGAGAGAAAGAGAGAGGATTGCTGTGATTGGTTACTTGCGTGCAAGCCAATCTTGATTGGTTGTTTGACACAGACTGGACCAATTTATGTTAAAATAAATCTAAAAAAAGACATATCACGTATGTATCTAACCAGTGTCTTCCAGTTGTTTGTCTATCTTCAGCGTGTAAGAACAATCTTTGAGCTAAATTCAGGTTTGTACTCTCTGAAACTGTCAGTTGTGGTTGTGTACAGTACAACTATGAGAGACTTGTGCGGTGTATAGATGCAACTTATGGATAAAATATAACCTTGTCACAAACTAATGCAGAGTGCGGTGCTGATTTGTCTTGTTCATATGTTTTAAAATAGGGCTTAAACATGAAGCACTGTTTTATTTTGCATTAACTGTTTAAACTATTGATCTAATCAGCTGATTAACTCTGAACACCTGCAAAGGTTTACTCAGCCTTTATTCTCTAACTCTGGTTCAATGCACACAACCTCAATCATTAGGAGGACTGCTGACCTGACACTAAACAAGAAGACAATTGGTGGCATCCTCTACTAGGAAAGTCAGCCACAGAAGGTTATTGCTGAACATGCTGGCTGCTCTCAGAGGGCTGGATCAAAAAACATTAATAGACAGATGGAAAGAGTGGGTGGAAAAGGTGACCAGACAACAGGGATGGTCGCCGCCTTCAGAGGATGGTCAAAACAAAGCAGATTCAAAAACTGAGGGGAGCTTCACAAGGAGTGGACTGAGGCTGGAGACACAACGTTAAGAGCCACTTCACACAATGGATGACAAGTGTCGCGTTTCTCCTGTCAAGGCACTCCTGAACCAGAGTCAACGGCATGAGCGTTGCACCTGCGAGACCTGGACAATCGCTCAGGAGTCCTGAATCAACCAGCCACTCACAGAGCCTAATGAAATATCTGAATCTTCGCTGCAAAGTGCATCTGATTAGATGTTTGACCTGAGAACGTATCACTACAACAATGAGTCACATAAATGTTGTTGTACTGCTGCTTGGTTGCTCTGCACATCTCCTTTTGGGATGACATTTTCCAGCATTTTGTAGTGTCTGGACATTGCAGCTCACTGGGTTAAATAGTTCAAATGTATGTTTGATTATGTCAATTTGCTATTTTGCATTTTTAAATCCAGAGTTTTTCCCCTGATTTGTGTGACAAGGGTAAGAATGAACTTTTTCCTAATGAGTCACAGCCGGTGCACACAGTTCTGTACTACACACACCGATAGTGGTCACTAACAAGGCAGAAGCTCTCTAATCTACAGTAAGTTGCCAGTACGTGACATATGGTGTTTGTCCATCAGTGTGTAAACTGTGTCAGACAGGCCCTCACACAGCGGGGGTTGAATTGAGTATCACACTGGGTGACGGCCTCTTCAACTCTATCTCAACTCTGCTGTTGGTACACACATAGTTAACTGACTTAGTGCCACTCATGAGCGGATAAACTGGCTTACAGGTCAGGGTGCGTTAATGAGAGGACCACGGTGTTCTCCGCTGAGGCTGACAAAGGCCAGGTGGAGGGAAGGAGTTTCAAAGAGGGAAAGCTAGCCAAGTGGAGATGTTCTCTGTAGCTGTGTAATACTTAAGGCCAAGGCCCCTCTCATCTGTGACAACCAGTCTGCTGCACTGAGGCCTCACACACAGGTAAGCAAGTTTCTCTGTATTCCATCCAGATTTGAACTTTTTAAATTTATGTGTATAATAACCAGGAATCAAAGTAAAGAGCAGCATGAGCAGGATCTATATTTCAGCCCATCCACCTTGCCAAGAAGCCTGGCACACAGCCAAGAGGGATAGAGAAGTGGTGGGCTGGATAGAGTGCTCTGCCAATGTTGTAATGCCTGGCACAGGTGCATTGTTAAAGGCACTGTTAAAATGATTCATACTCAATCTAATAATCTGCAGTTCACTATAAGATGTCTACAAAAGCTCTATATAGTTTCTAAATGACTGCTAAATATGTTTTTCACCTTGAAATTAGAGTCGAATTTCTGCCCTGGGACAGAATCAATCAAAAATGGAATTTAACTAATAACACGAAAGAATTTCAGTTTTGGAGTGCTGGAGCCACTAAACTTGACAGCCTGATGAGGACTGACCTTGAGGATACACTGATAGCATCAATGATGATGATTTGGGAACATGCGCATTCTTTCTAACTTGTAAAAGATGGTTTAGATGGCGCTGTGATAAAATGAGGCTCTCTTGGGGATGGAAGTAAAGCAAAAGGGATCAGAGTGAAATCAATTTTCAATTTGCTTCAATCGGGGCAGTAAAGGAGTAACATTAAACATAACCTTGGGATGGCTGATCTCTAAAATGCTGTTTGTTACAAACAATAAAACATCCAACTCCAAAACAGGGGCCGGCCTTAACTTAAAAAACTCCATTCTTGCGGGAGTTTAGAGGCATTCTTTCTTAAGGGGCAGCCTGCAGACCACAGAGTTCCTAAACTTTTCTTGCACACCCCCTTAAATAGATAAAGATATGTTTAAGCTCCACCTTCTCATCATCATGCACAGGGTGAGATAGAGTTTACTGTAACTCTTGACTCTGTATGTGTTTATCTAGATCTGTGTCAGCCTTGCATTCACCAGTTCTTTCAAAAATTGGAAGCAGCGCAGAGCTGTCAGGCTTGTTTTTGTAAAACCTCGCTGTGCTCCCAGTTTGGGAATCACTGACCTAGGTCATCAAGATGAACATTTTCATCTCATTACTCATTATTGTCTCTGGCTGTGTATGCCTTTGTATAAACTCATTTCAAAGATTAGACAGATTTCAGTCAAACAGATTTTTCTCAAGATATTACATCTTTTCATCTCTGCCTTTGATTTGCCGTGACTGAGCAGATTTCTCGGTCTTCTCTACACTTTAGGGCTGTATCATGAGTATGGGTATTGCCATTCTCTTTAGTGTTTTCTCTGAGAAACTATAAGCACAAGGCCCAAGGCGATCAGAGCAAGAACATCACAATATATCTGTATCAAAAGTTATTAGAAGAAAGTGGTCTTGTAACACCCATGTGTTGTCAAGTAAGGTCTGATCAAATTTGAACACCACGTCATCCTCCAGCTTTCAAGCATCTGGCCCCGAGGTATTAAGAATTGATGGGTGGGTTCAGTCTGAGTGTTTGTGTTTGAAACCAAGTACAATAAAAGTTTTATCAGAAATGAACCATTTTTCTTTTTGTGCTCCATTTAAGAGGTCCCCCCTCCTATGGCCAGGGTACCGTGGGCAGTGTCTATGCTGTTACTACTGGTGCTCCACCCTCCCAGGGTGTCCACAGCCCCCACCCAGCATCTGTGTGGCTCCCACCTGGTGGATGCCCTCTACTTCGTTTGCGGCGAGCGGGGCTTTTTCTACAGTCGAAACCGTCGCTTCAAGCGGGATCTAAATCATCTGCTGGGTAAGGCCGTACGGACACTGGGAACAGTTTGACTTCTCTGGTTTGACTTGTGCAAAATAAGTTATAATTGTCCCCTCGGTAGTGGGAGTTCAGAAAGGAACAGCGTGACATTGCCCCAAGTCCCTGGGCTTGCTTTGTGTTTCTGCCCACAATGTTCAAAGTTTAAACTCAGTATAATGAGAATGCCAATTTAGATCCTAGCTGGAAAAAAAAACATGTTTACATACAAAATACTGGAAAACCTCTTGCAGACAAACCTATGTATGTGTCCGTCCAATCATTAGTGTGAAAAACTGATCCTAGCCTTTTAAATCCAATAGTGTGGCTGGGCGTTTGTTGTCCCACTTTTCCTTTCTCATCTATGATGTGACAAATCCAGTGATCACGAATCTTGTGAAACCCCCTAAATACCCCATTTCGTCATTCCAAAAACACATTATTAGGATTTTCCACCTCAAACAGCCTATTGATGTTTTGAAGTTAACTTCAAAAGTGTAAGCTCTGATACGCCTCTGCTGGAGCGCTGCCATATCGCCTCCCTAAGTAGAAAGTAAAAGGGCTAAACAGAGTGAACAGATAAGATTATCTAACCATTAAGTCTGCATTAAAGTGCCACAGTATAAATGGTTGCTTAATAAACTGGAGGTCTGAACAGATGAGGCAATACTTAACACATGGCTTTGGGAACTTTCTGTTCTTTACAGGGTTCTTGTCTAAAAGGACCAGACAGGAGCAGTGGCTGATGAAGGCTGGTGACGAGCCCAAGGTGAAGAGAGGCATCGTGGAGCAGTGCTGTCATAAGCCGTGCAGCGTTTACCACCTGGAGGGTTACTGCGACTGACTCCTCACTCCAGAACTAGCACCACTGGAAGCATGTAAAAAAAGTCCATTTCTGAGCAAACAGTTGTTGGCTATGTCTAATCAACTGAAGGAAATAAAGCCTCCTGACCCATAACCCCGGGCTCCTCTTTGCAAAATTGTCTTCTTTACAGCTGGTATGAAGCGAGGGATGAAAAGTGGCCTTTTGCTGCGCTCAGAATTGCACGAGTGTAGTCACAGTCTTAGAGTGCACCCTACTGGCTGAGGACAGATATGGCCAAGAGGATCAAACCAAAAAAATCTGTCTTTATTTACAGAGACGAAAGAATACATGAGAGTGTTACAATGGAAGACAGTTACAAAGGTCAAATTTAAACACACAATTAGCACTAAAAAGCATCACATTGTAATGCTGACTACACTTACTCTGGATTTGTGGATTTAAGACTTGCAGTTGCTTATGTCTTCATTATTTTCACAAACCTTTAAGAACACAACACTACTCCGAATATTTATTTTTAACCTCATGATAGTGTTGAACCTTGTACACCCTGCTGAGCGAAAAAAAGGACCTTATGGTCCAGTAGAAATGCAGATAAAAGATCAGAAGTACAATGTTGATAAGTATTCAGAAGACCACGCCATAAAAATTCTTTTTGGTAGCCAATTAGATGTGAGTCCTTGTCTGGAGAAGATCTCCATTACGCATAATGATTTCCTGACAAAACAAACACAGAATTAGGCTTCCACTCAAACATCTCCAGCATAACAATCTGATGAGAAGAAATTCATGAATAAAAGTTGTGCAACTGCTCAAAATCCAGCTCTGCGCCTCTTCAAGTTTCTAGAGATCATTTCAGTACTTACCGTCTTTAACAGGTTCAGTTTCGGTCGGCCTGTTCTCCTTATCGTGTTGGAAAGCTTTGCTGGGATCAAACCTGCGGCGAGGGGCTCCGGGAAGTTTCGACTTCAGGTGCTCCAGATCCATTTTCTGTCTGCTCACCTGAGACTTCAGCTTAGACAACTCCTGCGCATACACAGAGAAAGAGAAATCAAGAGCTCTTTTAGCTTAAGCGCAATATGAGAGTAGTTTTGAAACAATGACAGTCCTGATTGAGCGTTATCACCTGTTTGAGGGAGATGTTCTCATCTTTAAGCTTCATCACATGCTTGATCTTCTGCTTCTGGTTTTGGTGGCCCAGCAGACGCGCGTAAGCATCGGACAACTTGTTTAACTCTTCCTGGTTGGCTCCGTTTTCGTTGAGGAGTGCGTTACGCTCTGCTGCAAATGCATTGAGCTGTTCCTGTGGACACATGATCATTGAGACGGTTTAGCTTTTAGATGAATGACCTGATTGTTTTTGATGCCGTCTGAGGCTGCAAGTAAGAAGTTGTGGTTTGTCAAACTACCTGAATGAGCAGAAACTAAAATCCACTATGAAGCAAAAAAGCAGCTTCAAAGCCTGGTGATTAGTACCTGTCTTTATCACTGCTGTTTTCTCTGTATCTGAGCTTTGATGAGGGACAAACTGGAGTGTTTTTAACATCAGGAATGACTTACCTGGAAGGGCTTGACTTTTGCAAACAGCTCCTCAAATTGTCTCCTCCAGTGCTCTGCCTCTGAACTTTGGGAACTTAAGAAAAGGAGTGATTAATATTTGCAAATTAAAAGAAGAAAATAAATAAATAAAAATACAGTGAAGCTCACCTTTGCTCCTGCGCTTCACTGATTTGTTTCTGGAGTTCCCGCCGCTGCTCCTCCATCTCCCACTGCAGTGTCACCTTTTCCTGAGTCAGCACCTCTACCTGCTCCTGCAGAGCCCGCCTGTCATGTTGTTGTTGTTCCAACTCGCCCTGAAGAGACTGTGTCTTCTCCCCCATGAGCTCTAATTGAGCCTGAAAGCTAACGCCACCTTGTTCAACCTCATTAAGGCGAGACTGAAGCCGATTCCTGTCCTGTTCTGCCATGTTCAGCTGGTTTTCAAGAGCGAGTCTGGACTGTTCCTTGACTTCTACTTCAGAGAGAAGATGCCCCCTTTCCTCGTCTACTTTTAAAAGCTCTGCCTGTAGCCTGAGCACCTCTGACCTGATCTGTTCGTGGTTTTTCCTTTCAACATCCAATGCCCCCCTGTCCTCCTGAAGGGCTGTCTCGATTTTAAGTTTCTCTTCTCTTTCTTGTTGGAGCTGTTTCATTGTTTCCTCTTTTTCCTGGCTGACCCTCTCGAGCAGTTCCTGGGCTTTCCCACTCTGACCTCTCTGGATCTCAAGCTGCCCCACTGCCTCCTCTCTCTCCTTTGTCAGCTGTTGTAGATCACTGACCAGAGCGGCATGGTTCGCCTTCATTTCCTTCATCTCCTCTTCTTTTTGTGCAAGGGAAGTCTGTACCTCCAGCAAGAGTCTGAGAAGTGAAGAAAAAAGGAAATACAACAAGGTGAAAAGGCTGCAGCTATTCTAACACAGATGCAAAGTGAATTTTAAGTATACCTTGAATTCTCCTCCCTGGCCTTTGCCTCAGCTCTCTGCGTCTCCTGCTGCTCTTGCAACCCCTCCTTCACTCTGCTGATCTCCTCGTCTTTCTGTTGAACCACTTTAGCCATCTCCTCCTTCATCTGGTCAGTCACTCCGTCCACCTCGGCTTCCAGTTCTTTCTGTTTTGCCTCGGCTTTCTTCAGAGCATCTTTAGTGCTGAAAAAACCAAACAAACAAGAAAAGCAGTTGGTGAAGATTTTTCCACCAAACTATCACAAATAAAACTGACATCAAAAAATACTAAAAGATCCTCAGTCCAGCTGACCTTTCCAGCTCTGTTACAATGTCCGCCATCTTGCTCAGGGAGTTTGTGAGTGCTTCTTGGAGTCTCCTCTTTGCTGTTAAATGTTCCTCTTCTAAAGCTGCTGCATCCGTGCTCTCACTAAAAAAGCAAAGCAGAAAGTTTAGATGTGATGGTGAGAGATTCTTGATTTGACCGTCCCAAACCAAATGATTATACTTGTATAGGTTATTCATATCTTCAGATTTCGGCTTTATTTGATGTAGCTTTTCTTTTTTGTTTTAAGCCTAGATAGATTTCTAATCTTAGAGGGAAAAAAACACAAGTACCTCATTTTTAAAACATGTGTCCCTGTGGTACAAATACAAAATCAATATAAGTTCTTTAACGGAGCACCGCTTTCACAATTCCTTTTAGGTGAGAAAAGTTTTAATGGCAAGTATCAGGTATAAAGTAATTCAAAGGAGTTTATGTAAGACAGTAAAAAAATCATATCAGAAAAAAAAACATTAAATATCTCAGATGACAAAGAAAACACCTGAAAAGCATTAAAACTCAAAGCAAAGAGCATAAAATACAAAAGTGATACAACAGTTTTTAAATAGAAAACAGTGAAGAGTTGTGCAACAAAAATGGGTGTTGAAATAATTACAGACAGTGAGCGGCTAAATGGTGTTCTTCAACTTGGCTTTAAAAGAACTAAGAGTATAAACCAACCTGAAGTATAGAAGGTATGAAAATCATACTCTACCTCCCCATGTTTAGGTTTGTTTCTACTATAAGGACAGAAAGCAAATCTATCTGAGTTAACTCGAGTAGTCTGGATGGTTTGCAACATGTGAGAAGATGGCCAATGCCATAATACTGCACTTAAACCATTTAGTGGTTCATAAACCAGCAGCAGTATTTTAAAATCTATTCTCTGGTAAACAGGTAACCCCTGAGACCTCAGAACTGGAGTGATGTGATCATAGACTGTATATACTATGGACAACAGATTTGAAGCCAAAAAGATCTCTGTATTTCCGGGATTTTTCTTCATTTCCTGAAACCAGCGCCGCGCAGTAGCGTTGTGCGCATTCGGCCGCGCAGTCGCCGAGAGTCGCTGTGATGACGCTCGCCTCAAACAGCGTATCCCCCGGGAGAGCTACGCAATCCCTGAACACCCATAGGCTGTATCAGGTGTCAATCTTAGAAAACATGAACCCCCTAATAACTTTTAAAAACGTAGCTTCACAGAAAATGAGGACTTGAGCACAAACCAGTCTTACTGTAACTACATGTCAACATCGCAAGCAGGGGGGAGAAAAAATTATGTTCTGTGTAATAAATTTCTAAAGTTTGTCCACAGCTCCATTAGCTTTGCTGGAGGAGGCGGGATTTATGACCTATACTGCAGCCCGTCAACAGAGGGTGCTGTTCTCGGAGTGGCTTCACACAGCGAGGAGGCAGATGGCGTCCATTCTATATACAGTCTATAGATGTGATCCATTTTCTCCGTCTGAGAGGAGACTCTAGCTGCAGTGTTCTGGATCTGTTCAGCTATGAGATTTATTTTCTGTAGACACTGTTACAGTAATTAAATCAACTTATAAATGATTGGACCGGTTTCTCCAGGTTTTATGGCAACAATATATACCATTCTTGAAATGTTCAACTGTTCTTCAGCAGAGTTTGTGACTGTCTTAATGTGAATCATGACATTCGGATTTCCAGCTTTGTCTGTGATTTTCAACAGCACTGACTGACTTCCAAGAAGAGAGTGCTTCTTTAACATTTCTGTTATATTTACCTTTATTTTCTTTTAACACAGAGCATCAGTAATCTTGTTGGCTGCTCACCTCTCAGACCTTGCCTGGGTCTCATTCAGCTGTCTCAGTAGCTCCTCTTTCTCCTGCTTCAGCCTCTGTAGAGCCCCCTTACTTCCCTCCTCTTGCTCCTCCAAGACAGCAAGCTCCCCCAGCACCTCCTCCATTTCCTCCTTGAGCTGTTTTAATTGCTCCTCAGACTCCTCCCGCTCCTGATTCACAAGCACTGTCAGGGAGTCAACGAGAGCCTGTAAAAACATCAGGGAGTGGGTTACAGCTGAAGTGACTTCACACAAAATCTGACAAAAGACAGACAAACTTCTGCGCTACCTTTTCTTTTGTCAGTTCCTGAGTTAGAGCAGCGTGTTCTTGCTCAAGCTGAATCAGTCGGCTGCTCTCATCTTTTTTAGCCTCTTTAAGTGAGCTCAGCTCTGACTTTAGCTCCTCCACCCTCCTTAGACCCTGCTCCTGAGTCTTACCTAAAAACAAAGCAGAAAACATCAGAGACACGTCACTGACAGACTGAACGACCTTAAACTTATTTTTCCAATGAAAAAGAATATATATCAAATCCGTTAATCGGGGAGCATACTTCTCTCCTCCTCAGAAAACAGACATCTTTGTTCAAGGTGTGCCACCCTTTCATCCAGCTCCTTCTCTGTCCTTCTGAGCACCTCCCTCAGCCTTGCAAGCTCTGCCTCCTGCTGCCGGACAGTTGCTTGGGACTCCTGAAATTCTTGGGTGGCGGTCTTCATTTGCTCTTCCATGTCACTCGCTGCATTTTGTGAAGACTTGAGCTCCAGCTCCTGGTTTTCCAGCCTCTTCTCTACCTCCATCAAAGCATCTTTTGAAGCCTGCAGCTCCTGCTTGAGTTTGTGCGCTTCCTCTTCTTTATATCTCAGCTCATCTTGAGTGCTTTTTAATTCAGAAGTGCGCTGCTCTAGTTCAGTCCCCAGTTGTCTGTTGAAAGACAGTAAAAAAAATATATAGTTTAGTGCTCTAATGGTGAAATTTTCTTTGTTTGATGGAGCAAAATGGAATTTGCTTACTGGAATTTCTCCACCTGGGAACCAGCAACCATGTTCTCCTCTGTCTGCTCTTTGATCTTCAAGCGAAGATCCTACAAAAACATACAAGCAGGTCAAGCGTGACTTTCAGAGTAAGACAAATAAGAAAAAAAACAAAGGTGTCACTTTCTGTAAGATGTTAGAGGTCTGAGTCTATACCTGGATCTCATCATTAGCCGAATCCAAGTATCCCTGCAAGACTCTAATTTCTTCCCTCAGTTCCCGTATCACAGCTGGGAAAAACAAAAAAAACAAACACAATCATGAACACAGGACCCTTTAAAGTTCCTCCAATAATATGGATATACTGTACGTTCATCTAAACTCTTTTCAATAACCCTTTAATTATCCAGGACCAGAGATTGGTCACGATTTTCAAACATTTTACTTAAAAGAAAATATCCAATGTGACTCTAAAATCCATTTCAGTATTTATTTCACTTTTTTCCTGCAGTGTCACCGGTAGGTAAAACCTCCATATAGTGGCTGTAGCACAACTAAAACTTTTCTCCAACTGCCATTAAATTATAAAAGCAAAATAACAGAAGTGCCAGTTGTCTGTAAAACAGGTGTGGCACTGTGAGACTTTGAGGTAAAAAAAAAAAAATGCTGACTTTGAAAACTGTTGAAGAGTACTGTGTAGAACTTGTTTGACGTAAAAAAAAAAGGAGGTCAACTGCAAACTTTGTGGGGTAAAACTGGCACATCTAAATCATCATTATATATGAATTCAAAACTAGCATGTCTACCAAACGATGTAGACATGTTGGTCACCAATCCTAGCGTCCAGCCAATAGGTTTTTTGCTTAAAATGCCTGCCCCTATTTGGAACCTATGGAAAGTTGTGATAGTGAAGGGCATCTGTCACCCTAAGGCTGTTAATTTGCAAGTTCTGTTATTTGTAAAGGACAAATTTTACTGCAACTAAATGACCATCTCTCATCTGGCCCAGAAACCATGTGTTGATATCAGCCATTTCTGAAACCATAACAGAATTTGCAATAATTAAAGAAAATCTGTCTATTTTTGGCTACTGATTGAGAGGATTCAACAAGCTAAACAATTAAAAAGATGATTCACAAAAAAATAACTTCACATGAATGAGAAAGGTGAAATCTATCCTTGACATTATTCATGACATAAACATTCCAGTATGAACTTTATCACTTCATTCAAAAGCAGCGTAAAGCCCATGAATCTTAAACACAATATCTCAGTCACCTGAAATCCCAGGGCAATTCTAGTCCTGTATGAACACGGCTTGGCCATGACACAGACAGTCAGAAGTGACGGTAAGTGCTGTTATCATCAAATCTATTCGTACAAAGAACTCACAATGTAGCTTGGCATTCTCGTTCTCCAGCTCCTCATTCTGGGTTTTGGTCACTTGATGAAGATCCTCTGAAGAAAATAAAATAAAAACCAGCTCAGCTGTGGTTGATTCAATGTTGCTGATCATAAATGATTTCACTCATTGCTGAAAAACTTGATTCTCACCTGGTACTAGCTCACTGGGTCAAGGACAGCAGTCAAATTAAGTTGTCTAACTAAGCTTTAACTTTAGCCTCACTAAACAGTGCATCTAACAATACAGACTGGTAGCAATATTTGCATCAGATGAATCTTACCCAGGTCTTTATTCCTGTCCTTCAGTGCACTGACAGTAGCTCTGGCAGCATGAAGGTCACTTTCAAGCACTTTCAGCTGGCCTTCAGTGTTAATATGCAGCACGCTTAACTCCTGCACATGCAAACAGAGGAATTGGCTTTTACTGCTGCTGACAATGAGCTTAAAATTCTCATCAAATGTTTAGCTCAGCTCCCCCTGAAGAGTTTTTCATATCAGATAAAGGTATTCTCACACATTGTACCTTGTTCTTTGCATCCAAAGTGTTTCTGGCCTCCATTAACTCCATCGAGAGTGAATGTATTCTCTTTTTTGTAGTGTCAGCTGACACCTGGAAAAATAGACAAACTTAACATGAAGTAATGATAGGACTGGATGCACTAAGTGAAATTATATCCATTCATAGTCAGTTTACAGACAAAATCAAGAATCGTCTCACAGCCAAGTCAAGCACACCTTGTTTTTTAGGAACTCATTGACTTTTTTGAGCTCAGCTCGCTGTCTCTCAAGTGTGGTAACATTGGCAGCAAGACCGGTCTTCTCTCTGACTGCAGCCAGCAGCTTAGCCTCCACTTTCTTCAACTCTTCTTCTAGAGCCAGCAAGCGACGATCTTGCTCTCCTCGCTGTTGAACCAGGGATCTTATCTGCGGGCAATAAATGCTGATGTTATAACTTTGACATCTGTAGTAATAGGAATAAAGGCATTCTTGATATATTTTGTCAATGGCTAATCAATGGTTAAATGATCCGTGATGGTGATACAAACTTAAACATAATTCTTGTGGAAATCTAAAGCACAAATGTTCTTTTATTTGGGTGTACCTCTTTCTCCAAGAGTTTCTGTTGTTTCCTTTCCAAAGTCATCTTCTCTTTCTTGACGCTTGAACCTTCAACCTAGATTTTCACAAGCCAGAAAGAGGGTTAATTTTATGTGAGGAACAGCTGGAAGAATACAAGATATAATGTTGAGGAGACCTCTCAATGGCAGTATAAAAGGCTGCAAAACTTACAAGACCATCAACTGACATGGTCCTGCGAACGGGGGACACCAGAGCTCTGGAGGGTGATGGGGGTGGCAGGGCAGCTAAGTATGAGACAAGGAAAAGAAGTGTCACGAAATATCTTCTTGAATATAATGCATGTAGGTGTCTCTACTTAGAGCACCGTGCTTCTCGGAGTTACATACCTGCCTTCACAAGTTTGAACCGATCGGACTTGTCGAAGGAGGCAGCTCCCTTCGGGTCCCCGGGTTTGACTTCATAGGATCCCGGGGCAGGGGCACAACCTTCAGTCAACAGCACAGTGTCAGCAAAGATTCATGCTACTCTTTAGTTGGTCTCAACTTCCGTAACTGCCGCTAAATGACTTCATAAGCTTAAATGAAGTTACAGAGGTGTCCTGCTGATTTTCATGCTATAGTAAAATGTGCTAAACTAGCTACGGATAAGCTAAGCTGGGCTACCGTTAAAGGCTTAGAGGCTAGGTTTCAAATATTCAACAAGCTTCAACTTACAGAAAGACACTTACCTATGTGCTCGTTAAACCTTTTCAAAGGGGCTCTTGAAAATGACATTGTTAGTCCTTCTTACGAGTATAATATTTCCTCTAACACAAGTTTTAAGTATCCAAAAGGCTGCAGCGCAGCTCTCTGCGACCAACAACAACAAACGCCTCACCGCTGAAATTTCAAACTAACGTCACACGTACGTTACGTAAATCTGGCCAATAGGCGTCCAGTTGTGAACTACGTCACGCTTCCTGATATTCAATTTTGTGCTCAACGGTTTGTCTTGCAAAGGAGTAACCGGATTAAAAATGCGCGTGAAACATGCTGCCACATCACAATAAAGTCGTGTTAAGATACCAATCCATCAAGACACATGGTCTGTTTACATTATGCGAGAGGAAAAAAAAAATATGCTCATGTCAAACATCTAAAAATCTTTGACAAATCCATGACAAGCGTTTGACAACAGCGAGTTGGTTTAATGTCGTTAAAAGGTTATGGGGAGATAATAAAACTAGTGTTTTAGTACGGTGGCCGAGAACCGCCACTGCTGCAAATAAAACAGTTCTTTTTTTTTTTTTTTTTTCAGCAGTGGCGGTTCCCAGCCATTGTACTTTAGAGATATATTTGACGAAACCTGTAAAATCAATGATAGTCCTCAACAGCTGCCAAGTTTTAATACAGCTGTTGAAACATATTTTCAGTTTCTGTCCCGTTAATGTTTTAAAATCAAGAAAATTCTCAATTATCTCCGTTAGCCAAAATTTCACCTAAACAGTATTAAAATGTATTTGGATAACATAATGTCTGTAAAAACCAACCCCCCCAAAATGATGTTAACCTCTTCAAGCAAAAACACTAAATACGCCAAGTAAAAACAACATTTTTTTTCAGTTCAACATTTTTTTTTTATTTCATGGAAATACAACATAATTTTGAATCCTCTTCAGGACTATTGTTGTACATGTTATACTCTTTTTCTCCATTTTTTTGTACTTCAAAACATGGTCACTTGTACAACAATATCATAAACAAAGCCTCATGTCACAAATGGAGCCATTGATGACAATAAATTACACTTGCCATGCTAAGGTTTTGAGATGATACATGGGTACCTTCATTTTTACTAGATTAACCTTTAAATGAACGTTGAAGTTGAATAAATATGATAAAAAGACACAGGAGTTAAAAAAAAAGAAAAGAAAAAACTTTCTTCATTTAAAACGGAGCAGAGAAAGAAGATCACAGGGCTGTTTCAAATGGGTAACCTCTCAATTATTTATTTGTTTCCTTTATAAGAAAAAATAGGGACAATTTTTTGCATATTTTGATAACACTGCTAAATCTAAAGAAAAATCCAACAATAGTAAATACTGACTATATTATGGAAACTGCCCTTTAGTTACAGCCAACATTTTTGTTGTTTTTTTTACTTATGTGCAGTATAGGTCTGCAAGACCAACATCATCCACTCACACTCAAAACAGGTTAATCTAGTACACCACTGTCTTTATACAACCTAGAGGTATTTTCTAATCTTGTTTCTTTTGTTTTTTAAACTCTTGAAAAAGCAAACACGTGTACCCAGATGAAGAGGTTTTTTCTTCAAACTGTAAATAATATCACTGTTTCCATTTACAGAATATAAAAATCTTTTCAGCAGACAAAAATAAAATAAAACAGTTGATGAGGTTTCCAGCCAGTAGTAGAGAGGCAAGTATACCAAGGATGTAAAAATTAAAAATATTAATAATTAAAAACAAGAACAATTACAACGATCAACACTTCACTTAGCTCAACAGTGAAATTTACAGAGAGAGTGTTAGCAAATTAAAATGTGTTCGAGAAGAGAGCAAGAAAACCAGATGTGTGAGGGCTAAGATAAATAAAAACTAAATCAAGGACACTAATGTACCTCCGTTCTTTTGAAAGCAAGCAGGTGAAGAGGAAGAAGGAAGAAGTTTTCATGTGCATCAATATAGACACTATGTTTCATGGACACGGGCAAGCCAGATTATTATCAGAATAAGTGTAAAAGGTTGAAATGAATCACAAAAAACATGTGGGTCATGATGGTAGCACAGGTGTACTGGTGTCTATGCTGGTTCTGTTGCAGCACTAAAGAGCACCATGTGTCGCTTGAAACATCTTTATTTGATTTAGAAAGAAAGTTATTTGTGTCATCAATTTTATCTCATTACAACTTTGATATAAGTTTGTCCCAGTGCTGGATTGCAAATTCAAAAGGCATTTAGCTGGGACAAGTGGCCTCAGATTGAAGGACAGTGATGCTCTTTTGGCAATTGAGTCAGTGGTCCAATCCACAGGTGTGCAGCAGAGGGAGGAGAAAAAGGCATGCACGAGTCTGAGTGAAAGCCACACAGATAATAAAATAAAAAAGAAAAGGTGTGAATTTACACTTCTGCCTCTGGCCTGGTCCACTTCTAGGAGGCTTTGAGAATTAAGAGACAGTCACTTTACAGAAAGGAATAGTTTGAGAAGATTTGTGAATTTCTGAATTCTTAAAGCCTGATCCAGACCTCCACTAGACCAAGGAGAAGCAGAAATTAGTATCACAGCTATGTGTGTTTGCCAGTGTGTGTGCACCGCGTTCAAAGGGTCATTTTCAACATGTGGTAGCTAAAGATTGGTGTATAGGAGGTTGGAAACACCGAACATGCTCCACAGTGGAACTATCTGTTTCCACCGCCTTCATGTACTTGTTGAGGATGGCAAAGATCTCATTGTTTAGGATCTGATATTTCCTAATGCGGTCTGCCATCTTCTTCAGGGGCTGCCAGAGAACAAAGAACAGAAAAGGATTGAGTCAAACAATATCGAGGACTGTGTTCATTTCTGTGACGACATGGAGCAGAGGCAGTTTACCCACCACATTCTTGATGATCTCGTCCTTGCCGTCCTGTCTTTGGACTTTGAGCAGATGGTAGCAGAAGTCGAAGAGGTCGAAACGTCGCTGCTGTCCCAACAGCACGATGATGGCACAGCCGGCCCAGTTCAGCCCATCCCCAAAGCACTGCCTGGCAGGCACGACACAAAAAACACAAGTTACATGACAAGATTACAAAATGAAGGATGGGTGGGTTATTGGTTTTGTGAGATGTAACTCCTCAATCTTAAGCACTCATCAGTCTTTCATATTGTCACACTAGGATTTAATTCTAAATCATGTCACATGCTTGTGTTTGACTGCGTACAAGTGAGCACCTGGTCAAGATAAACACACCTCCTAAAGTACACAAAATCTCCAGCTGGGTGCTACTCACTCTGCTGTGAACTCGTGTGTGCCCACAGGGATGCAGTAGACAAACTGCATGGCACTCCACAGGCGGTGGAACTCCATACATTCATCAACATGCATCACACCGTTGGTAGGCGGGGGCCCGCGCCACACCCCATCTTGTAGGAAACTGCGAATGCGCGTTAGGATGACCTCGAACATGGAGAGGCCGCAGCACAGTCGCTCTTTGGTCAGCAGGTCCCCCTCACGGGCAATAGCAATTTGCTGGTTAAAAAAAGACAGCAAGATTACTTATCTTTTGCACCACTGAAATGCGCTACTGCAGGAAGAGAGCTAAGTTGAGGGCATATTTAAACAAATTACGCAAAACAAAAGTTTGACTCACCTGTGGGGTTCCCAACCTCTCAATAAGAGGCACAAGGTGGAGAGGGGCGTACTTCGCTTCCAGCCTTTTCATCCTTACCTCCAGACGCTCTCCCTCTATTAAACAAAAAATAAGCAATGAAATGTGAACACTACACAAAACTGACAAGTATTTCAATGGGAACACGACTGGCATCGGCCTGTATCCCTCTTCCTTACCTTTGATATAGACTCTTGGCAGAATATTCTGAAAGGGGGCGGCATGGAGCAAGTCGCACACTTCCTCCTGTGACTAAGATACCAAAACAAAACACAGGGTCATTTCAAGTGCACCGCCCACTTTACCTTGTAAATATCCTGATGGAACATGCAGGTAGCCATGAGGGGATGGTAATCGAAAGAGACTTGCAAGATTGCTGCAATGTGTTCGTCATTTACAGCATGTCTAGAATACTCAAAGAGATCAAAATAGACACGGGATGGGTTGATAGATTACTCAACGTTACAGTCTGCTTATGCAGGGACACATGAGTGAATTTGTTTGTTGCGGTGTTTATCAGGGCATGATGAGAGGCCATAATTAGCAGGTGATAATTTGCCACATTCTTAAGCACAACATCCCATGTAATCTTGTTTAGCAGCATGAGGTCATGTTTACAACTGCCTCGACAAAGTCTCATTAGTCTGTGTTACACGTGAGTATGTTTACTGTGTCTTTCATACATGAGGTCTAAATGCTAAGGGGGTTGCAATGGTTTTGTTAGTCAACACACCATACTATTAATCAATCTAAACGGAGAGAGAGGGAGCAACCTGACACTAAAAGGCGAGTGAAAAAAATGCCATGCAATCATAAAAGAGAAACACACACACACGAACCTACAGGCATGCCAAACAAACATACTCTGTATACATATGCATAAGCAAACAAGCAAGTGCCATCTGACAAGAATGGTAGAAAGAGTGACAGCTGAGTAGTGTTTTGTAGATGGCATCAAAAATGCCAGAACTGGAAGAGAACATGGAAGGAAATATGTAGTTCAGCACAACACTGTGGCAACAAACAACCAGCAGTGGATTATCACCTCTCCCACAGAAGACAAGCATGTAAAAAATACTCTTACACAGGAGCCGAATGAGTATTACTTTACTCTTCAGATTGAGCTGCTTAAACATCTGCTTCAATCTCAGATATTTGTGAGTGTTTTTTGTGAATGAACTAGTTTCATTTAGTTAACTTGTACAACAAAAACATTTATCCCATCTTTTTGCTTTCATGACTGGTTGGAGGTGAAACAGTGTGTGCCAAACCTACATATTCAAAAGGAAAGAAGACAGAAAAAAAACAGCAACCCCAAACCAAGAAGATATCAGAGAGAAAAAGACATAATCTGTCTCTGTGATAGCCATGATAAACCCTGAATCCTTACCACCTGTGGAAGATGCCAGCATGTAATGAAAAGTAGAGTTTTGTTTCAGAGAAAAAAAAAAAAAAAACATCAAGGATTGAACACACACGAGGGACACCCATAAAAACATGGCAGTTGTTGTAAAAAAATGGCCCCTGCTCACTGAGCATGCTCAGGAACCACAGAGGGAGTTAACAGGTAAAATCGTTGAAAATCAGGGAAACAACAGAGGACACATTATTTGTCGAGGAAGTACGCAAATCACAATAAATTGAAAGAAGAGAGAGATAAAGTGGAACATGAGTGTTAAAATTTGAAAGGAAATGTGCAGTGTGTGTTTGTGTGTAGATCAAGTGTCTTACCAAAGCTTGTTCAATGAGCAGGCAGAAGAGGATGGCATTCCCCACCTCCCTTAAGCTCTGAAACACATCTGTTTTCAGCTCAGCGTACTCAATGATGTCCTTGAGCTGATGGTGGAAGAACTCCAGGATGCCTGGAACGGATAAAAAAAAAAAAAACACCCATGATGCCTCACTCAAAGTGTATTTTAGGTTTAAAACAAACAGAAACTCTACTTCAAATCCCCTCTTCATTTCTGCAGTCTAATGTGCCCTCTAACACTTCATTATGTCACTGATTATCTATTGCCACCTGGATGAATCAGGATGATGTCAGCGTGTCTGCCCAGCTGTCCTGACCCACATTAAGCCCGAGCATCAGGCCCTCGCAGCAGACGACAGGAGGATCATTAACCACTGACAGTAAGATCACGGGCAGTAAGCCAGGTACAGAACTCTTGAGTACAGAACATCAGTAATCTACAGATTAACTAAACGCTTCTCATAAGGATGTACCATCTGACTGGCCTCTAATCTGTACACACAGATCGGGCCAAAACGGACAGAGGCAAGTGAGGTGACACAGTGATGCACAGCAGATGGGAAATAACCCTCTTTAAATATTCGATGGAACAATTTATATACATAACATTCATTCAAAGACATTTTCCTCCTTTTGCAGACTTAATCAATCCAACCAGCAGGTGATAAATGAATCATTTAGACATCTTAACTTGTGACGTGATCAAACCAGCATGCTGTTGTGAAATATGTATCATATATGAATGTTAACAACCTTTCTCTAATATGTTAGCAAGAAAATAATTGCTAGGTTGCACACAAGATCAGCAGTGGATGATAGGGATGTCACTTTACACTCATGTTGTCAAAAGAAAACAAAAATTAAAAAAACAGTGTGAAGGAAAAAGGAATATTTAGTCATATTGAGAGCTCTGATTCTAGATTGAAACACTCCCCCTGCTCACTCCTTATGTTGGTTCAGCAACGGTGGCCTCCAAGGACAAGAAGGTCTGTAGAGGTTTGGATTAATGCTTTAGAACTTGCAATGGCTCACTAAGATAGCAATTGGTTACTTCCACAGGCAGTGTCTGTGGCTAGCCAAGCTACACAGTTCAACAAAAATCCACTCTGGAAATGCTTTTTGTGTTGAAAAAAAAAAGTAAAAATCTTCAGTCCTATTTCTCATATCCAAAGGTATTATTCCACAAAATTACAAAGAATGTGGCTGGCTAACACACTTGTTGTAACTAGTCTTGGAGGAGCAGGTAAGAAAACCGTTTGCTTCTATAACTCCCAAGCCTCGACTGCCTAGTTGAAGATCGACAGAACATTTCGTGCACATATGTCTTAAAGGTGAACACCTTTTTTATCAGCACTTACCAAAATCACATGAAAACATAAATTCTAGCATATTTTTAACATTTTTAACCACCATTTGAACTTATGAATGAAATTATGTATCATTAAATCCTGCATATTTATATATTGTAAAATTATTTCTCTTTTTAAAACACACTTCAATCATGTTAACTGTATTTATAACCATGAACTGTTCTTCTGCAAATTTATTTGTCATTTTTTTCCTGTCAAGAGTCTATCAATATAAATTCTTTTGTGCACAACGACCAGTCTCTTCCTCTCTCAACTGATGCATGTTGTATTGAGTGCTGCTCACGAAACAGAAAAAAGCAAATGTTACTAGTTTGTCTGCTTTGTGCTGCTGTAGAAACATGAAAGCCTCTATGGAAGAGGACTCACTCCTATGTAGACAGAAAGAGCTAATTGTAGTTAACAAACGCAAAATAATTTTCATATCCAGGTAACTTTATTCAAAACATACTTAAGAATACTGAAAGACTGTTGAATATCTAAAGTCTATTCATATAAATACAGCGCACTGCACCTTTAAAACAAGTACTGGACAAGTTCTTGCAGTAATTACCAAAGTCATAACAAATCTTCTTGAAAGAAAAATGAGGATCCACACGAGGCAGGAAAGTTCCTCTGAGAGTCGCAGACACCTAATAAATGTAATCCATCGTGGCATTTGAGTCTGGACCAAAAGGTTGACTGACTGAAATATCAGCAAACTGACAGACTTGATCATATAATCACCACTTGGGATAAAAGCTTCTGTTAAATGGAGTTGCAGCATGCTGTCATGAGGCAGTGATAAAACATTCTCTCTTACTTTGAAGAATAAAGTGGAATAAACCAGGAGAACATTATTTTTATAGAGAAGGTAGATTTCGGGTCAGGCTTATAATCCTATTATCCCGAGACATCTGTAGTGCCAGAAGGAATTTAAAGCCCGTCTTTGAACTTCTTATGGGCAACGATTTTATTTAACTCACCTGGAAAGGGCTTAGAAGTGATGGTACTTCATTTTCTGTTAAATGCAGAGAGCAGTGACTACATGCAAGATCAAACTCAGGCAAATATGACCAAGCATCCTGCTCCATATTTATTAAGTTGTTTTTATTATCATGGGGCATATGTAGTTAAGAGATTGATAACTTGTTACCCCTCACCACCACCTCTTCTACTTCTCTTTGCATTTAAAAGAAATAAACAATCATTTGACACTTGAATGTTTAAAGACAAACCTCACATGCCCTCTCTCTTTTCCTTGTAACAGTGGAGGTTACAAACTCACCTGGAGAGCCATACTCATGGCGAGGAAGGCGGCAGATCTTAGGCATGACTTCTATCAGTGTTTTTACGTACTGCAGTATGGTGCCCTGCAACTGCAAAGCGATGGGAAAGATGAATAGGGTGCAGCAGGCGGAGAGGAAGAGAGGGCACAAAGAGGGAACAAAAAGATTTCAGTGTGAGAATGCAGCCCGCTGGAGGAAGGAAGGAAATGTGATTTCAGGGATGCAACTCAAAATGAAGATAAATACCAAGCTCTTGACAATCTTCAGCAGCTCCTCCATCACGACCGCGATGCCTTGGTAACCAAGGAGACGGCAGATGGTCTTGAAGTGAGGCGGGCCAACAAAGTTCCTGTAGGAGCTGTATATGTGGGAGTAGGCAATGTTCAGAGGCTGAAAAGAGTGAAAAAGGCAGAGAAAGAGTGTTAACCAGGGACAGCAGTTTACTTGATGCCGCTTCAAGATTTACGGAGGAGCTTCATCGTTACATTAAACACGAGTCATGATGAGTTAGAGCCATACCTTGGACCCGTATAGGTAGTAAGGCTGCACATTGGCTGGCTTGTCTCTTTGAGGCTCCTGGGTGAAGGGGATGGCTGTGCGTACGAAGCTGAAAAGGAAACGATGTTTGGATCACAAAGTTCTCAAAAGAGTCCTAATAAAGGTGATTCCACTAAAGAACGACACCAGACTGACCGGTTTGTGGACCCGTTGTAGCAGTAGTTTGGGAGAAAATCGAAGTTCAGTTCCCAGAAGACGTGGAGTGTGATCCGCCCGTAGGGAGCAGAGACATTGTGGTTGGCCTCACGGAACATGGCGTCAAAGCTGTCCAGGGTCATGTGCTTAGACAAGAGCCGGTGGGTTAGTCTGTTGATCTCCAGGAGCCACTCCAACTCCTGTCAGTGAAGGAAAGGTGTGAAGGTTGGTTGAGGATATAAATCTCTGTTTGATTTGGTGCATGTATCCCTGGTGGGTGACCTTACCACGATGGATGTGAGGTCCTCGCTCTCGAAGCGGCTGATGGCGTGGTCCAGGGACTTGTACATAGCTGCAGAGATCCTCTGAGTGATCAGGCGGTTCAGGTCAATTGAGCGACCCAGCAGCTGAAAAAACCCAAGAATGTCATTCAGAAAAGTGCGAGAAACAACGAGAAACAAAATGCAAAGTTTCCATGATTCTCTGGATGAGAGGACTGTGTTCACGTCTGACTCACCTGTACGTGTCTCTGTTTGAGCAGTGTCTCATAGCGGTTTGATGGAGGATACGGGATGATGACGCCGTAGTTTTTACACTCTGCTCGGAAACGCTTGTCCAGGAGGACGCTGAGAAACACATGATTTATCAGCTTAATTTTCTAGAGTGCTGCTATGCACATTTAACTAAAAGTGTAATGAAGTAACGTGTGAAGCAGTAAAAGTTAGATCGTGTCTCTTACCTTCCAGCCATTGCTTTGTAATATGCAAATATCTGATCTGCTAATTTGTAGACAAACTGGTCAAAGCAGAGGTTCACCTGAGAGCGAGAAAAAACACATGAAAGTTATGTTTGTGAGGATAAACCGCTAAAACAGATTACTGAGTTTCAATTACAGACTTTCAACTTTACCTCAGCCTCGATTTCATCGTACAGGAACTGTTTCTTGAACTTCGTGAGAGCGTAGTAGCCGCTGTCATTATACAGGTCTAGAGGATACAGCACATACCTGAAGGAAGGAGAGTGATAGTTACAATACAGTCTCAAAGTACAAAATTAAGCCGAGTTTGTCACTAGATTTGGTTTGTCTTACTCCATCATAGAAGGCTCCTTGGTCTCCAGGATGTGGTCTGTGAGGATCCAGGGCATAGACATCTCGATGGGGAACTGAATTCTACGTCCCATGGTCAGCTCCAGGAAGAACTCCCTGAACCACAGCTGGGAGAGGTCACAGCACTGCTGCAGGGCCTCTGCACAGACGAAGGAAATACTTCAAATATCTACAAATTTAAGCGTAATGCAACTCAGCTGAAAATGTCTTTTTTTTTCCACAAGAGTGGTCTCGGTTTGATCCACTCACCACTGAAGTTGAGCAGGTGTGTGAAGAAGAAGGAATGTTTGTGGAAATCCTCGATAGCAACCACTATGGGTCCATCCAGGCTGCTGCGGAGAGTCTTCTTGGATCCGCTCTTATCTGCTATCAATGATTCCAACATGGTGCGCACCATGTACAGCTACAGAGGAGAGAGTAAAGGGAAGAAGACGTTCAGTTGAACAGCAGAAGATAGAGGCCATTCACAAACCTGTGTAGAGAACCAAAAATAGAGAAAATGCCCACAAAATTTCAGGCTGGGTATTTGCAACAGTTTTACTCTCGGTGCTGGAAGTTACAGAAAACACTTCAACTAGAGTCCTTCGGATCCACAAACTGTGTTACATGTTAGTTTCGCTCATTCTTATCATCCAATCTGCTCTGTCTCTTTTTCTTTGACATGCAAACATGATGGAGCAGGAGCGTTGCTTAGCTACAGCATCTACTAAGTGTTACTGTGCCCTCACATTTCCTGTCAAATGATAAATCCCTTTTTTACTAATGCTATCAGTTTTAAGATTTCTTTCCCTAACACTTTTTATACAACCAGCAGCTTCTCTCCTCTTTTCTCTTCCAGCTTCTTGGAGCTTATTGAAGCTAATATGTGAAGTTTTTTTTTTTTTTTTTTTAGTTGAGTCATTGAGGCATTTACACTCAGGGCTTATTAGAGGCTGCTGTAGTGGCCATCATTATTAAGAACTCGTTTCATATTTGCACTCAGTAGATGTGCATGAATGGCAAATGGCAGGATCATTTAACGCCCCTGGTGGAACTTTAAGTTAGTTTCTCATTATGAGTGCCAAAAGTGAACAAGGCTGAATCTCTCTTCTCTTTGCTTATTTCTTTTCTTAACGTGTATATCCTGCTTTCTTTCAATAAATCTCTGTACTCTTACTGTAAATAGTTGTTGTGAACAACACGGAGGATGATTTAGCAATATCAGCCACCTAGTCTGACACCTACTCAACTGCAGCTGTGTCGGGAATTAAAGGTGACAATAAAGAAATAATCATCCTTTTTTTATTGTTTGCTTTTAGTGGCTCAAAGAGAAATGAAGTGAAACAACTGTATTATTGTAATAACCTGACCTGCAGTAACTTGTGCGAAAATGTCTGCACGATTATGACGTAGCATGTCTGAGTCTGTTAAAATCTATTTATCTTGTGTTCGTTTGTTCTGTTGCATCAGTCATATCAATCAATGAGAGTGCAGAACGTTGCAAACTCACAAATATAAACGGACAAAAATGTTGAAGCTAAAGCAGAACAATGAAGTCAGTGCTGGGAGATGAAACTATGAGACAGGGGGATATTAGTCCAGCTCTGGCAACAACATCGCTGCATTTATGTCAAGGGAGCTCCATGACAGACCAACAAAAATGAGAAATGTTGAAGGGAAATAGCAGCAACCTGGTGACTGACTACTGCAAGCACTTCCAGGTGTTGCATAGTCCGACCCTTCTTCCTCCCAATGTCATCACACCCTGGTGTTAGTCATTTGTTTCCTTCTCTGCCAGTCGGATTATTATGTAATATGTGTTATATGTCACATGTTATGCCTAACCTGTGTGCTTGAGGGTCCTACAGCCCTGCGTGGCACTTTAATGTCAAATCCACCTTTCGGGTCCTTCTCCCCCCTCAGACAGGGGTCGTTTGGCGGTTCCCTCGCCCCCTCCCAGTCACAGACTGTCTTTCGAATAGCCTGAAGAACACTGCAGACAAAAACAGCAGCGAGATAGAGAGAGAAGGTTTTCAGAGGGAAACACGTGTGAATAATCAGGTAAATGTGATTGTAATATAGTGTGTGTGTACCTGATGAGGACATTCTTCTTCTTGCGTACAGCCTGGCGCAAAGGCTCTCTGAGGGTCATCTGGGCAAAGTCCTGCAGGGCTGCGTAGATGGTGTTCCTAATAGCTTGGTTGAACACTGACTCCATTCGGCCCATTAGAACCTACACAGTGTAATACAAAGCACAACAATCATCCTCATTATCAGGAACCAGCACTAATGATCATCAAGGACTTATCTCACACTGTAAATCAAAAGTTCATCCTTAGTACATTTAAGAAATATCCCCTCAATAGTTTTCAGATTATGAAATTAATAGCTCTGCATAATCATTTGTACTTGATGTAGAGTTTTCACATGAAATAACAAAATTAATCTTTTCTTCCTGACTGTAAAATCTATTATCTAAATCTGAAATAGGATAAAACAAGTCTATGGCTAGATATCAAATGACCACCTAGGCCTGGGACGATAATCAATAAATCAAATCAAATGAACTCAATATTTTTTCCGGCCACAATACATTGCTATGTGCATGTGTGTATTTGTATTCCTCGTCTCGACCTCCAAACACGCTGAATGACAAGAGAGTTCACTCTGTGTATCGGTCTCAGCAGCTGGGTGCGTTTGTGCCTTTGCGGAATAAAATGAAGAGAGTGAACCAGCTTGTCAGTCATTCAGGATCTTAGTATTTATAGGGGGAGGTGGAGCCGCAAGCACACACACACACACACACACACACACACAGACCGGAGCAAGTTAGCGTCATGAGGAGCACAGAGGAGCTTATTGCTAAGCCAAATGCCACAGCCCCGGTGTGGGAAATTCGACTTCAAGCCAAATGAGCACGGTGGGACCATCAACACAGACGAGCCAGTATGCCGGCTTTGTTTAAAAATGGTAGCGACAAAAAAAAAGGCAACACAACTAAACTTGCATGCCCACCTCAAACACCCGGTTGAAAAATACTGCACCCCGAGATGCAGAGCTGTTGGCCTGACAGTCAACGCTTACTGAAGCGTTTGGACGACTGAGCGCAAAATGGTGTGCGCTCAGATAAAGTGTAGTTCGCTACATTGCCAAAGAAATGCTGCCATTTAGTATAGTTGAAAAGCCAGCATTTCAAGTAATGATACAAACTTTTGACCGACAATACGAATCTGCCCTCCAGAAAATATGCGATACATTAACATTACATAAGTGATTATTTTGGTCTCAATAAGGCCAAAAATAATATTGTTTATTGTCAATATTTTGTGGGACAATATATTGTCCAGCAAAATTTGTTATCCTCCCAGCCCTATTCTCACCCCACCCTGAGGAACACCTTAAATATATGTCGCTCACAGGGTGACTATCAATAAAAAACACTCCATAAGCTGATCATGGGTGTCTCACCTGCAGACCCTTGATCATGGCGATAACTTCCACCAGGGCAAATTTCTCCTCACTGGTGTAATTGTAACGCGTGGCTCTCTCGTACTCCTCAGCAGTGCCGGGGCAGTCCTTGTTACAGAATTTATCCGTGGGATGGACAAGCTTCCACGAGTACTGAAAGAAACAAAGAGAGCTTTAAATAGATCAAAGCCACAGTATTAAACACACAAAAAAAAGCACCCACACATTTTCATACCTGAGCCCACACAAAATAACAGCCAAACAAATGTTTAATCCCTGCACACACACTCACTCACACACAAAAATCAGCCTATCAAGCGTTTCACTCACAACTTCCATGACGTGCGTGCTCCACTTGGACAGCAGCTGCAGGCCCCTCAGAGCCAGGTCGAACAGCTCTCTGTACTCCTCATCTGACTTCTGGCTGTCCAAGCCCGAGCCCGTCACCACCTCGCTGTTGCTGTAGCGTGCCAGCTCCGAGATGAAACGGATGTGGTCCTCTCTTATCTGCACCATCTGCTCACACAGGTTGTACTGCGGCGAGATGCTGCTCTGGGTGCACGTCCACCTGGGCACAAAATAGAGGAATATGGGAAGCTGAGATTGGGCGAGCAGATGGTTTAGTGGTCATAAATAGCGGAGTGTTTTTGTGAATGACTAAAATAGACGGCTAGACAGGTCCTCTTACTTGGACTTATTTTCTTCATAGTGAGCGCTCGTCTCGATGTAGCGTGACAGCTCTATCTGCATGTCTCCAAACAGCGGCACCACTTGAAGCTGAAAAGCGCAGGAAAAGAAAGGCTCCCAGTCGGATCATGCACACAAAGACAATTCTTCATAAAAGAGCTGCTGAAGAGGGAAAGGACTTACTTTGAAGAACTTGTCGATTTTGCTCAGGTTGATCCTCTTTTTGGCGTCTAGTTTGTAGATGTTACTCACATTTCCATCCATCAGGTACAAACCAAATCCCATCACCTAAAAAAAAAGAAAGAAAGAAAGAGAGAGAGAGAGAGGATTTGATTTACATCAGCAAAAAAAACATTTATTCAGCCAGCAGACAGACCACACTGTGGATGTTTTCAGTTACCAGCAGGGGAGGAGTACAAATGTGTTCACCTTAAGCAGCATGTGTTTCTCGCTGGGTGTCAAATACATCTTGTTCTCATAATAATCTACACAGATGTTGACAATGTCTGCCAAGAGCTCCTCATAGCCAGGAATCACCTCCAACTGTTGATGCAGGCACTACAGAGAAAAAACAACAAGTCAGTGCTGGATCGGTTCATTAACAGGAACATGATCTACTCTTTCACCACTCATATAAGAGAAACATGGAAACCTTTGACTGCATGACTTTGTATTCATTTCAATCACATCTCCCCCATTTTACCCTCTCTTCACTGGCTTCCTGTGCTTTTTAGGATTGATTTTAAAATTTTGTTATGAACTTCTAAATCTTCAAACGGGGTTGCTCCTTCTTATCCCTCTGACCTTTTATAACCCTGTATTTTATCTCGAACTCTCAGATTAACTGATCAGTGTCTTCTGACTGTCCCTAGGTCAAGATTGAAGTTCAGGGGTGACCGAGCTTTTTCCGTTGCTGCACCTAAGCTCTGAAATGCTCTTCCTCTTCATGTCCGACTGCCCCCCTCACTGCCTGTTTTTAAATCAAACTTGAAAACACACTTTTACTACTTAGCCTTTGAACTTGGCCTTTTAAATTCAAATTAAACTTATAGCACTTTTCATACAAAAAAAATCTGGTTCAATGTGCCTCACAGAGGCTAAAAACCATAATTAACGACAATAAAACCCGACCCTTCCACCCACAACCACACCCTCAACCACACACGCACAACCGCACACAGTGTGAGAATTTAAGATATATTGTTAGAGAGACATGGCCCGACACTGAGACATTACGTGAGGAAAGAGCTACCTCTGGGAAACACTGGAGATAAAAATAGAAATAAAAATGGTGAAAAGACAGAGTAAAACCTGATGGACTAAAACAAGAAAATAATATTATAGTAAAGATAAGTAAAAGCTCCTTACCATATAAAAAAGGGGTAAAAGAAGTAAAAACCTGTGACGGGAATCCTGTTTTTATTAAACTATCTATGTCCCCCTGTTTTTTTTGTTTTGTTGTTTTTAAATGTGCTTTATAAATAAACTTGGATTAGATTGGATAAAGAAATAAAATATAAACTACACTTTTTGTGGACTTTGAAACGGGGACACTGCTTAGTCAGTGTCTGTCACTGTACTGCATTACTCACATTTTACATGAACTGTGAGGGAGAAAATAAACCCTCATCTCCATTTCCTTTCCCTGTAATTATTATCAGTCCAAAAAGAGTAAAATACTTGGAAGCCTAAATCCATCTTTGTTCAGTAGGTCACATGTTAATGTTCTGGTTAATAACTAAACCCTCCCCTTAGATCTTTCTGATTAGACTGCACCCAAAGTCACACCTCCACCAAAATACCACGAAAATGTGAGTCATCCATTTGCAAAATTTTTACAGCAAGTCATTTCCTGTAGGTGCATTGAGAAGTTTACAGTAATTATCTCTTACACAGAAAAAAAAGTGAAGCCTTGGATCACAACATTTAAATTTCACTGAAAACATTAATCTGCTTCCACCCAAGTCCTCACTAAGTTGCTACTTTTTAATTCACATTCGCTGAAGGCACTCAAATCTGCGCACCAACCTGAGTGATCCTGTTGTGGTTGGCTAAAAACATGGAGAGGTTCTGAGACTCCTGGATGGACTGAGGGTCGGCCATCTTCCTCAAAAACTGAGCAGCTCTGAAGGAGAAGGAGGAGAAAAACGTGACCCTCACTTTCACTGATGGGGTGTAATACTTTTATGCTTGCTATTCCTTTATTTATGGGTCGCTACCTTTTGTAGGCAGAGTGATCGTTCTTCACGCTACACTTCATGTTCTTCAGTTCATCCAGCACCGCAAACATATTAATAAATTTGCCCAGGGTGAGCAGGTAGGCCTCAGACACAAAGTCCTTCCTCCTTTCAGCGTGACACAGACGCTTCACCTCACTACAGAAACGCTCTATTGCTTTCCTCTGAAAATGACAAAGAAAGAAGATTTATGACACTTGTGCAAACCATTTGAGGAAGAAGAAGTTATAATGACACAAATGCTTCTGTAAAAAGCCAGATGTAAAGATAAACATGTGTCAGGGGGGGTTTCAGTAACTAAAAAAAAAACAAAACTGATGAGTTTTACCTGAAAATACATGAACTTCATGAGCTTGGTCACTTCAGGCTCCAACACTTCCACAGTCTTCTCATAGATCTCCACTCTGTTGGGCTGCTCATTGCATTTCACCTAGCAAACACAAGAGGGCGCCACCGTACAGAGTGATTTAGCAGCAAGCTCAGTGTACATTTTGTTGGATTCAGCTGGTTCATGCATGGTTAAAAAAAGTGTTTTTTCTCTCTTATATCTCAAGTGTTTCTTTATTATTTGTATACTGCACCAGTAGCACCTGTCCACATAGATAAGAATTTTAAATAATGTGCAATAGACGCTGCAGACCTGAGATACATACACTCAACATGTTTCCAATGCTGTGTGACATCTAATTTACTCGTCAAAGATAAACTTGTGAAGGTGAATGTAATAAGAAATCTGCGGTCTAAACACAAGCCTTCACCATTTCTTCCGCAGTTTAATTTACAAACGATACTCGGCAAATGATATTCCAGCTGTCAGAGGGAGAGGAAGTAGCTCTTTTAACAGCTTTCGTGAACCCCAGACTCGACAGATGTGATACCAGTTACAAAGTCTGTTATGCAGCTTTCTCCTCCAGAAAGTAAACCTGAGCAGGCTGTCCGTGAAAAAAAAAAAAACACTGTACAATAACCCCAGACACCCGAGCATCTGGAATAGTGATCTGCCAAAGCCCTGGACTCATTTTACTCTTGATTACAAATGATTAGTCTAACTGAACTGTATTTTTATGATTACTTTTTGACTTTATTTACAGATTATTCTATTCTAATCTGCTATTGTTGTGTTCACTGTGAAGTCGAGTCTTTGTAACCCTGTGTGTAACTGTGCTTCAGTGTCCTTGAGTCTTTGAAGATGCTCACATAACCACACCTACCGTGTGCAGCCACTAGCATAGGTTTTCGTGAACTTTCATAATACTGGGGTCATTCGCATAGAAGGAAGGCAGTGTTGCAGTAAATAATTGCGTAACACTTAAAATAGGTGCAAACAGCATTGGTATTGTGCAAGTCAAGTGACTCGCTTAACTTTCATTCATTCATTTGACAAATTTCACAACAAACACTCAAAAAGAAGTTATTTTGCGTGCGTATGCGTAAGTGTTTTTGTAGTGTGTGTTACCTGGGGAATGGCTCGAGAGCAGCTTCTCCAAGTGTAGAGCATCACAGCGTACTCGTGTCCCTCCTCCAACATCTCATTCTGCACAAACAGATATTATTCATTCTTAACAAGAAGGAAAGACAAAGATAATACAACTTGCACGCTTCTCTTTGCAAAAATGGGTAAGAGAGTGCATACAAATGAAGACAAGAATAAGATTTTTATACAGCTGGTACACCAGAAATAACTCAAAATAACCTGTCCACGATTGTTTAGACATTTAATTTGCATGTGGCACATTTTTTTTAAATCTTTATTTTAAAAGGAAATGTTTCATGGCTTTTCAGATATTCCAGCTTGAATGGAGCTTGATAAATATTTAAAGAAGGAAACATGTCTTCCATTCAGAAAATGGATGAGACAGATTCCTCCGTTGTGCTGGCAGAATATAGGAGTGTCCTCAAATAGACCTGCTTCAGCCTCAATGGGACTTCCTGCTTTAATGGGGTTAAATAAAGCACTACTTCCCCTCTTTGCCAGGCAGATCACATTCTCCATTCATTCACCATGAGAGGAAAGAGGTTTACTGGTCTATATCCCCCCCTGATTCAGCAGCGTGTGAGTGAAGTATGTGTCTATATGAGTGTCTGTGTCTGTGTTTGTGTGTGTTTTAGTGTGTCTTGCCCAAGGCCTGAGCCAAATCCTAACAAAAGAGCCAAATGATAATCAATTCACAATAAAACAAGGCTCCCTTTGAGGGTGTGAGGCTGCTCCCCACAGTCAGCTTTGTGTTCACTGGAAGAGAAACAGCAACTATTTACGATGGACAACAAAAAACTTATTCAGCCACTCCAGTGCAAAAACTGATACGATGTGTGTAGTTTGTGTGTTTTACAGTCATGCACATTTCCTTTTGCCTCACCATGCTGGAGTGGACTGTGGCTTGCTCTATATAGCGGGCGATGCCGGTCACAAATGCATTCCTGTCCTCGAAGTTGGTGTCAAAATTAGCCTGCAGAGAGAGCGAGGGATGGATTAAAGTGGTACAGTGACGGTGTCTGAAGCTGTGAGCACACACGGGGAATGATGGCGAATGAACGTGTCGGTACCTGGTACATGATGGAGGAGGGAGGGGGTTCGATACATGGCTGCTGGTCGGGGAGGGGCAGCTCCTCCAGCAGGTCCACGTTGGACAGGGCATCCTCCAGGGTCACGTGGGTCGTCATGGTAACAAGGCGTCACTCACACAACACCCCGGTCTGAGAAAAATAAAGGAAGAGCAGGATGATGAAAAAATGATACAGACGAGGACACATTAGAAGAAACCAAGACGCAGAGACGAAGGGGTGATTTAACGACAGAGTTTTTGTTTATTGCCTGATGATTTTAACCAAAAATAAAACTCTCAAAAAATGAATAATCACCTATTAAGACACAGACTTCTAACACAGTTTGGTCCTAAAATGCACAAAGCTAAAGAAAGTAGCAGAGTTGAATTTGTAAGCTAAAAATGTGATTATTTAACTAGCTAGCATTAAGAGTTAAGTTTAGGTATAAAGAACAAGTGTTAGCTACATGTATACAGCTAATCAAATAGTTAGCCAGGGGAAATGGGAGATGAGTAAGGGTCTACAAAGGTTAAAGCGAGCAGCATAAATTGATCAAATTAAGATGGCGATACAGTCGTATAAATAAATACAAGCATGAAAAAAAGAAAAACAAAGTCTTTCTGCGTGTCTAGACGACTTCACTTCCTCTTACGAGACCCCTTTAGCAGCATGTTAACCCTGCACCTGTATCCTCCACTATTAAACCACGTCCCTACTCAGAGAGAGGATGTGAAAGACAGATCGTTCAGTGGTTCCTTTTTATTTCACTGCAGGCAGTTTTGAAGGAAATAATTCTTGAAATGCCTATTCCTGAAAATTTTACTGATCCGAGAGAGACAAAGACTGGTCTGGCAGTGAGTGACATTTAACAAAGTTCACTTTTGCAAAGACAGTGAACTCACTGGCAGATGTGTTCACAGAGCAGAGCCTGTCTATAGATGTCTATTTAAACTATACAAACACATAAGCGATGCATATTGTCTGCACTTATAAGGGCAATCTTATCCCACCCTGAATGACAGTAATTATATCTTACTTGTAATTATTATATTTGGCATTTTATCCAAACAAGAAAACAGCATCAACAATGTGATATTATCAATATACTGTAAATAAGCCACAGACCAAACTTAGCTCTAATTATGAGCATCAGCCATTTACACACAAGGTACCAAAATACCCCAACCTCAATGATGACTGTACTACCTTGAGACAGCCAATCCACTGCAGTGCCTTCACCTCATCACAAAACACCAGCCCAGCCACAGCAGGGTATAGGAGCCTACCGGTTTGTCATGTGCTTCTGTGAGTTTTACGTCTGAGCTGGCAGACGGGGCTGGCAGAACTGATAATCAGCTTAATATTCAAAGACTTCAACTAGAGCTAAGAGGGATAAGACCCACGTAGCTAGGAGGAATATAAGATCAGCTAATATAAGATTTAAATCCAGATATTCAGAGGGAAAGGTGTCTGAGGCAGGTGTTTTTTCAAGGCTTTCAATCCTCTGCGCGATCGTCACGTTTGAGTGAAAGAAACATTACGAAATCTTCTGCATGTGCTACATATGCTTATATCATACACTGACTTCCACACGCTATTGGCCATGCACGAAATTTGCAGGCACACCAACACGACTGCAAATGGAGTGAGAAAAAAGAGGGGTGGGGGTAAGGGGGGTGGAGTTTCCTGTCACATTCAACTGTTTAAGCGACACTAAAGTTACATCTGTAGTGAGGTAGGCCAAGAGCCGGGCCAAAACAGAACAGCTGAGTCATAAAACTTCTGATGAAGCTTCAGTCAATTACAGCCCAGTGTAGAGGCAGGTAAAAAAGACACTGAGTGATAGAGGGGAGGTATATGAATCTAAAGAGAGGTGCGATTCTTCAGTCAGGTTTGTAAGAGACATGCAGCTTTGATGTTCTTGTACGCTAAAGACAGCAGCGTGGTAGTGTTACCTTGTTATGTATAATTTTAAAAAAAGACTTGTTTCACATCTCCTCTCCACAGCTGTTTCCTGCACAACCATCTATCTGCTTATTTCAACATTTGCCTGATTATTCAGCTCATACAGAACATGCAGCCTGCTGCAAGGGCTTCTGTCTGACTGACAAACATGCCCAGTGCTACTAAACTCCCATCTGTGCTTGAGAATACAGGCACAGACTGAGGCCTGGGTTGGCTGAATAAACTTTCCCACCCTGTACCCGATTGTGTTCAACAGTTGGTGTGTGTGTGTGTGTGTTTGAGTGTGTGTGTTTATGTGTGCATCTTTACAAAGCAAAAGGACCCTTCATTCCCTTTTGGACACTTGGTAACCTAGCTGGAGGCTTGTTTTACACAAGTGAGACCACACAAGGCAACTACACAAACCCTATACAATAGTTGGACTCCCAGAAAAGCAAATGTACTCAGTGGGGTACTCTTCTCTCAAGAAAATCTGATATTAGTGCTTCTAGTACCCTCCATGTGATCTTCTGCTACGAATCCAGATCTGCCTGATAGTTTTGGTCAGTTTTTATGTCGGTCAGGCTCCAATTAAAGCTAAACTAACACACACACAAAAAAATGTACAGAATAGGAAAGAGAAAAAATATTTTAGAATATAAAGGATATATCATTTGTATCATTATGTGCAGCTAGGCCTTTGTGTAATACCTCTTGTCTGTGAGAAACACAGAGTAAGAGAAAGTGTGTCATCTCCAGGGTCATGCCACTCAATGGAATCTCCCCCCAAGGCTAGCTCTGTAATATATATTCATCCCCACGATGAGATGAGATCCGATCAGCGGGGAAAAAAAAAAAAAAAAGGGGGAATCTTTTCGCATTTAGACACGCATATACCCATGATCTTTTACGACACATACACTGACACAGACACCAGTGTGATGTGTGTTCCAGCAGCCTCAGTGTTGTCCCCATGGTGTTATCATGTGCAGGGGGGACTCTGGCTGACTGAGGTATTTGACAGGCCGAGCTGATTGTCATTTCAGAGACCAGCGCCGTAAAAATGCTGCCGTCTCATGATCCCCTGATGTCACACTTTCCTTTTAGGCTGACAACAATGACCGTCACATGAATATGCAATGGGGGGAAAAGAAACAGAAGCTGGACTCACATGACCAAGCAGAACAGGTAGAGAATGGTAAACAAGACTCAAACCAAAAACTCGTGCCTCTAAACTCGAGAGAGAAGTATTAAACTTATGCTTACAAATGGATTTGTGCGCCACAGTTTGTCCACATTGTTAACCTCTACTTCCCTTTTCTTTGGCTATTTGGTTTGTGTGTTGTCTCGTCTACACGCATGTCATTTCTGTCTGTCTATCCTTTTCTTCAACTAGATAAAAAACAAAACACTAGTAAAGGGCAACCAATTTTTAGTGAATTGTACTGGTGATAGAAACACTACACTTCCTACACTATTGTGGTCTTTTTTAATATGTGCTCTCTACAGGGCAGTTTAAGACTACTCAAAAAGCCACATCATGGGGATACCAACATCTTACTTCTGCTAGTCACGTACGCCGGATAATTTTTTTCATGTTTGATCTATTACAAATGGGTAGCCAATTCTTAAGAGCCAAGCCAAAGTGTTCAGATGTCTAATTTTCTCTAACCTGCAGTCAAAAATATCTAAAATGATGGTTTTAAAAACATATCAGGATGAAGAAGGGAAATCCTCATATTTAAAATCCAAATTTTCCAACTTAATACCAAATATAAAAACAAGCCACAACTATTTCATTTTTAATGATTTACTCCTAAATTCGACAACATTATTCCTAAGAGAAAGTTGAGTTTTACCTAAAACCAATGATCCAGACACCTCTAATATAACACTTTTGTTGAATATCTGCCCCATTTTTTATTACAGCTGTATGCTGTTTCTCTTTAAAGTTGGATTAGTTATCTTACAAATAAATGATAAATGAATAGTGGGTGTAGGGAATTGCGGTGTTTGGTTGTAAAGTTGTTGTTGAAATTCAGTGAGTTGGTAGATTTCAGTATGTTGCATAAAGCTTGTAGGGACATTTTACCAGTCATCATCCAGAGCCGATTTGAAAAAAGAAAAAGTTGCCATAATTTAAAAGGATTTGAAATACTTACAAAGTCAAGATTCAGAACTAAACTGAAGGAGCGCTGCGTTACAGTGAGAGGAATAAGTTTGTGGAACAATCTAAACAAAAAAAAACCAAAGAAGCTAAATCAAATTTTATCTTCAAAAAAAGCGTCAAAGCCAGTATGTTGAGCAAATACAGGGAAATATGTTAATTCAAGTCTTGGTCTGTTTGTTTTGTGAAAAAAAGTGAATTAACGTCGTCTTTTCTTTTCATTTTGTGGGTTGTAACTGTAAAAAGGCATGTTGGCCTGCAGCTCTTGTTTATTTGTATTTGTGTTTCGTTGATTAGTATGGATATGGGTTTATATATAGGCAAACCTTATAAGAGTCTTCTTCTTTCTGCTCCTTTTCATTCACATGTTTAAGATTTTTCCTTGTTTGTATTTAAGTATGAAAATGAAAAAGTAAAGCAATGAGAGCATTAAACTGGCCTTAAAGAAGAGAAGTGGCCTGTTCTAGTGGTTTTTTCTTTTGGTGTGGTGGGTCAATATGAGAAACAGCATAGCCTCATCATTACATCACTGTTGGTGAGGGGCTGGCACAGAGATTTACAACTGAGACGGTGTGCAACAGCAGCAGCATACCCATGATTCCTCTCCTAATTATCACATGGATGAATGAAAATGTGATGGAGAGATAGACACAAAATGAAACTGCGGTGTTTGAGACATGAGTGTGAAACGGAAGTAGGTGAACCTGTCATTCGTATTTCATCATGAACAGGCCCGTCTGCCTGCAGCTGTGATAGCTGTGAAAATGTCCATTTAACTGTGCACATCGCCTGCTCTCATTTACATGCCGTGCCCTGCTGGCCGGATGGGTCAAAGCGGCGATACCGGAGCGAAAAAACCGGCAAAGAAGAGCGAAAATAAGGGGAAATGGAGCCGAGTGAGGCGTCAATTTCACCCACTTCCCCAACATATCGGATATCTCTTTTCTCCAAACGGAGAAAATTCAATATGCGGTCTAAAAATCGCCCAGTTTTCCTTCATCCATCCGTCATCAGCGTGCACTTGCTACACGGCCACCCTCTCCTCACCCCACCCATCTCAGCGTGAGCTACGATGCCGATGCAAGCTAACGGGGATCCCATTCATGTGTCAGAATAATCCGCGAAAACCGGGAAGCCTAGTCCTGCAACACTTTAGGGGCGATTTTTCCCACTCTTTAACCTTAGATGTGCACGAGTAGGAAAGTAACGGGAATGATGCACGGGGCGAGGAGGAACGAGAGAGAGGGGGAGAGAGGGAGAAAAAACAGCTCTCCAGTCTCCAGCCATCATCACTACCCAGCGCACATCATCTGTAGCGCTGCGGCTCCATCCATCGCTGCTGCGAAAAGACACATACCTGTAAATTGCATGTCCGTCCGGCGGCACACGAAGACGGGCGGACGGTGTCGCGATCTGCGACGGCGGTCCAGTGTTTGCTGTTTTTTTTCCTCTCGCCTTCTGTGTCGATTGATGCTCTAGTTTCGCCCAGTACCTACCCAGTGCTGCTAATCCACCCCACACAAAGAGCAGAAAATGGCTGCAAGTGCATTTTCTTAAAGGGACAGTCACAGCCGGCTGATGGGGGATGATGAGGGGGCCCTACATGTTGATCCTACTCACGTGGACTTAATTTAGCAGGCTACATATTAGTAACACTACATTTATGTTTTTATAACACAAACATTTTTAGGACTAAAAGTTTAAAGTAGGACATTTGTATACGTGAGGCAGAGGAAGAACAAACCATATAAGCTTCTCATACAGCCTACTATACAGAGGGTAGGCCAATTGTAGGCTACATGTACAAACAGAAGAAAACCAGATATCTTGTTGTATGTCACAGCAGAGAGGATTTAAGGGTGTCAGTAACACTTTTGGGTGTGGGGTCTTAATGTTTATGTTAATTGTGAATGTTTAAAGAAGCAATCTTTGGCACAGCCTACACAATTCTACGGAAGAAAGAAAGAAACACTAAAAATGATTCAGGTCTAGATTAGCATTCACAAAAGTTACAAAATGTTGTCATGCTTTGCAATTTGTGTCATTGTATTTCTGTTTTACTGAAGGGCATTTTGTATTTTTAATCAGTGTTTAACACATTTTAATATTTTATCAATAAAATAGGCCCCTTGACTAAATTAGCATTCACAAAAGTTAAAACATGTGGTCATGTTTTGCAATTTGTGTCATTCTAATACTGTTTTACTGGAAGGCATTTTTTAAGAGTATTTTCAAAGTATTTAACACATTTTAACACCTTATCAACAAAATAGGGTCCTTGTATTGCTATTCTTATATTTGTACTACTAGTAGTAGTCATGGTGAGAATGACTGATCATATTGTTGGTTCTGTTAGAAATAGTTTATTATACTCAGACTAAGTATACCAGTGAGTTTGAAGTAAACTGGATATACATTTCTAATGAACTAATTTCTCATTGAAAATGTAAAATATGCTTATTTGGTACCTTGTGATGCTGGTTTTGAAAGCTGCTTGAATTATAATCATTTATTTATTGTTAACACTTTAAAAGTACTTTCAGGAAATACTCAAGTAAAAATCTTAGAGTACGTCAAGAATGACTTAAAAGTGTATTTTACATATCATAGGAGCTTGTAGGCCTACATAAAAATACTTTGAAAATGTAGCTGTTCAATTTTAATACAACTCAGTGTAACTGGATGTTTAACAGTGACCTGACCTGCTTCTGTCTTGACCTGCAACCAGGGCTTTTTCTACAACAACGTACTCTTTATTTTACTGCGATATAGGAGTTGTGTAAGCATTGTGTATTCTACTGGATTGTTCGAAATGTTCAAAGCTGCCTATTCAACGAAATTACAGTCGACTGCATCAGTTTGATGTTGATAAATGTAAATCTTATTTAAATGATGCAATTGGTTTTTTTGAACTGCAGTGCATGATGTGTTGCAATTGTGGTTAAGTGTGCATGGAGGAGTTCTATCTCCGCTCTCTATGCCTGATATGCTTAACACCTGGTTTGCTCAACTTGCTATGCTGTGATCTTGCAAACAGAAATATTGGAAGCAGAATGCATCCTTGTTTATTACTAATTTTCACTTATTTGTCACTCACCATACATAAACTCTTTAGAATAATAGATATTTATTTCAAATTTTTATTCATTAACGGAGGAATATATGACAAAGTTGAATATGCAAAGATATTGTAGGATATTTCAATGATAGAATAAAGCTATAGCGCAGCAGTGGCTCTGAAAATGGACTGTGTGATGTTACAAATAAAGTGCAAACTCCCCTTGAGTGCTCTAACCATCTCACAAAAATCTTCACGGGTATTTTTCTTTTTTTAAACAAGAACTTGGTGTAAAAATAATAAATAAATAAATATTTTATTGTTATCAATCTCAAATATTGTCTCCTCCGTTCACAGGTTTGCGAGGGAGGCCAGCTCGTGCACGAGAAGAGCAAAAGATGGACGATCTTCTGGTTTCTGGGGATGAGAACATGCAATAAATGAATTACTGCAGTTATTACCATCCACAAGATTTTTAGATACCATCACCTATCCTTCGACTTGTGCACACCTCCTTCCAGCACCACTCCATGAGCAGATGAACCGCATCAGGGGCCAAGCGAGGCTTCAGAAGCCTCAGGCCAGTGTTCAGGGAATCAACCACCTCTGCATTAGTGCGGTTCTCATAGGGGAGACGTCCTTCTGTGAAGACCTCCCACATTAGTACACCTGAGAAAGATAAAAACAGATGTGTTATTTCGGTGAATATTAACCTTTTAAGAATTATTTTGTATCTATCTCAAACAGAATAGTAAACAATGTCTCTTGACACTGTGGGGCTCTGGCTTTGTGATGGTGTCTTAGTTTGATCCTTATCCTCCTGTTACACACTGAATTTACGAAAAATGTTTACACAGAACATATGTCTGGTTACATGTAGTCCTGTATTCATAAACATATCAGTTCTCAAGTCTGTGATTGTCTGTGTGCTGATGGGTCTCTTTTCTAGTTTAATTTCAAGCCTTATCTTCTTTAATGAAAAATAATAATCCAACAAGAATTCAGGGTTTTAAATGCAATGGTAAATTAACTATCAGAGCAGTCAAGGTCATAGGTCGGATATGCAAAAAAAAAGAAAAGAAAAAAGGATGCGCACTTGGAAACACCGGCTGCAAATGTGCAATTAACTCTTCTTTCACTCCTCTTGTATTACCCATACAACTGTCACATGGCTTTGAAGATTCCTTATTTAATATTATGAGGATTTAAACACTTCCCTTAATTCTTAACTGACTGCTCAGTAACCTGACAGTCAATGCTCACCCTGATTTTAGGAGGGATACATAATTAAACGTATTTGTTACCTTTCTATTCTGCAGCTGTTGCACACAAACAAGCAACAACTTCTTACTCTTTAGTCTATGCCAAGCCATTTAAACTCTATATGTTTGGCCAGGGTCTTAAAAGTATTAACATCTTGAGATTACTGTAAAACCAACAGTTGGCAATGCACTACTAAAAAAAGCAGCCATTAAATGCAGTCCTTGGCACATACATATGTACAAATGAATCCTTTCAATGTCTGGAGACGATTGAGTCACTTCTGTAATGCCAGCTTATGCAACATGGTTTTTAAGGGGATGAAGAGTGCTACTTGTGTGCAACACAAAAATAAATTCTTTGATCCTGAGCATCTTTGCAAAACTGTAAATAAGTATAGAATTACAGAGCTGATGTGCCATGTGCTGCATACAGTATAAGAGTCAAAGTAAAAGAGAAGTTACTGATCTGTATGACTAAAACTCAGCAAATCTCCACAAAGAGTAAAAGACAAACTGCAGTGATATGGACACCTGAACACACCAAATGACCAGACGTCAGACTTGCTGCTGAACTTGCAGTATCTGATGACCTCTGGGGCTGACCACTTCACAGGAAACTTGGAGCACTGAGAGCTTGTGTACTGATCATCGAGCACAAATCTACAGAGAGGAGACGTTATATAGCAGAAAGGCGAAACTTTTAAAGACTGAGAGACAGAAGACAGAATGAAGAATGTGAACGCATACCTGGTCATGCCGAAATCTGACACCTTAACCTCGTTATTTTTGGAAACAAGACAGTTCCTGGCAGCCTGCAGAGGAGATAAGATTAACTATCCAAAAGCAGTTGAAAACAGGAATCAAATACAGTCATTGTCCGTTGGATTACCAGATCTCTGTGGAGGAAGTTAGAGCTCTCTAAGTACGCCATCCCCTCACTGACATCCAGACACATCCCCAACATGATGTCCTGGGAGAGGCGGCCCTTTTTAGCTCGCAGGTAGTCTGACAGGCAGCCCTTTTCCATGAACTCAAACACCAGGCACATGGGGGAGCGCTGGGTGCACACACCGTATAGCTGGACGAGCTTACAGTGGGACAATCTCCTGTAAACAGACACACAAATGAGCAGGGGAGAATTGTGCCTTAGGAATATGAACATCTTTATGAACTACACATACGGAGAAGAAGAAGATGAAAAGCAAGAGGGTGAGAATTTTGTTTGTATGACACTTATCAAAACCTATGTTGCATTGTACTCTGTTTGATTGCTTGTTTTTTTTTTTTTTACCATGCCACAAAAGACTGACAAAACCAAAGGAACATCGTGAGAATAAAACAAGAGGGCTCAGAATAAAAGATGAAAGAGTCACGACTGTGAATTACTGGAAGAAAAATAAATAAATAGACTGTATTATTGAAATAAAACAATCACAAGAGAGCTTTCCTATAAGAATTATATCTATAAGAGCAACTGTTGTGTACCAAGATTCATGGACACGTATATTTTAATCTGAAATAGAGGGGTTGGAGCAGTCAAGAGGCATCAGTTCAGATGTACTGTATATTCTGGAAGTGCTCTAAAGGTAAAACTCTGACCCAAAAAGGAAGGTAGGAAAGAATGCTGACAGACAGACAGACAGACAGATTTCTGCTGTGGATTGTCTTGCTGCAGGATTTCAACTACCTGAAATCACTTTATTGATTTCGAAGTGTAAAACTTTGGTGCTGAAGAACAAATAAACTGAAAGTGCCCACTTGAGGTTTGCCTCGAGCCAAAAATGAAAACAAAACAAGCTGTTAAAAAATAACAATAAGTCAAGTGAAATAGCCCAACTTCACAGCAAAATTAATTATAATACTTTATTGCAGACATACAGTTCCATATCAGCAGATTAATTGTGTTCATATCCTGTTTTATATTGGTTTTGAGTATGCAGCTAATTTACTTATTAAAACGCACTGTGGGGATGTATATCTGTAAGCAGATTACTTTATAATATTTTAGGGTTAACATTACCCTGTCATGTCAAGGTTTTTAGCTAGATGCAAAACAAAGTGAAATTACAGTGACACACAAGCAGCTACCACAGGAAGGGTCATGGGAGGCTGGTAATGCTGTGTTGTAGTGTTGTTAGGTACAGAATAGAGGCAGTAATAGTCATGTCTGAAATCTGAACTTCTACCATGTACCAGTCACCACTGCCTGTCAACAAAAATGAAGACAACTGTGGTCCGATGATATGAGACAAAGTACCAGACAGAGGAGATCATCACAAATACTTGCATGTGTACTGGCAAATATTTACTGTTGTACAGATGGCAGTATGTATATCTAGGGTTATTATGGCCCTCTATTTGGAAACTAGGAAAAGTTGTACAGAAACACAGGATTTCTCTGTGAGATCAACTTTTTTTAGCCCACTGAGGAAACCGTTGGTGCATTGCCCTTCTTTATATGACAGTTATCAACAACAAAACCAACTAAGGACTTATATAGCCCTGGTTTGTCTGTTGAAGTCTGGTCATTCCACCCTTTTGGCAATCAGTGTCAACTTGTTTTAGTAAAACTCAGGACAGGAAGTGACTTCACACATTCAGGGAGACTTGTATATGAGAAGGGTCAATATGACAGGAAGATATACACGAATCGACATGTGTAGGGGAGTGACTGAATTGACAGACAGTTGACAGACAGGTGGGCCTGTTGTAGTTGTGTGTTGATCAAGAGTCTGGCTGAGTCACCAACATAAGGTTCTCCATTCCTCCGCTCCAAATAATCCCTCCAGAAACCAGGAGGATATTACAGAGACTGAGCTCATAACTCATTTAGTCTATGAGTTGTATCTTGTAAAAGACCATTTCAGTAGCATTAAGGCAGGGGATGACTTTGTGAGTATGTATTTTTAAAAGTGAGGTGGCTGTTGAGGGTAGCACACAGGTCTCTGAGATTTTTCTGTACAGTAATTTAAGCGAAGGCTGCGACTGTGGCAAATGCTTCACTTAAACCCAGCACTGTAAGAATAAAACACACCGCTGTGTGAGCTCTGGTTTAAAGATGACTCATAGAGGGCTTTAACCTTTAATTCATGTTTTGTTCTGATGCTACAAAGAGTTGCATTTGGACAGGCTTTTAGAGTTCAGCAAAAAAGGGTTTAAATCGGTGTAGTATAGCTGCAGTTTATGCATGGCACTTTTTTTTGAATAAGCAGTAAGGAAGGAGATTTCAATTACTTACATCATGATTCTCGCCTCCTCTTTGAACTCCTCGTCTGACATACACTCCTCTCTTATCATCTTCACCGCCACCTTCCTCTCCCTCCATTTCCCCTCCAGTACGAGGCCAAATTGTCCACTACCTAACTCCTGACCCAGAATCAGCTCCTCGAAGTCCACTTCCCATTGATCTGCAAACAGATGAGTTGAATCGAGGGTATGAGATAACATGGAAAATGTTAAATCACCAGTTTTGTCTCTTGGGAAACAATATCAAAGACTGGACACACCTAGAGTAAACTACACCACCAGAGGCCAGCAAAAACAAGTACTATTTTCTTAAGTAAAGAGCACTTTAAAATCCAGTTCCTCCAGCTGACCCATTTACACAACAGAGCAGAGTCTCACCTCCCAAGGGATCAGCAACGCCAGGAGGGTAGGGCTTGTCTTGAGAGACGGGGTGCCTCAGTCGTGTTATCAATCCTGCCACACATACACACAGTGAGATATTTAAAAACACATAAAATTATTTATTTGCTCAATGCTTTTTTTGCAATTTGATGCTGTGTTTAACAGATTGAAACAGTGGCATGTAGAGAGCCTGCACTTGCCTGCGGCGTTGTGTTGATGGTAATGGATGAGCTCAGGAATGGTGTTGAACAGGTACTTCTCGGCCAAGTAATATGTGGCCTCTCCTGTTTCTGCTTGTCTGATCTGGTAATGCTTCACCCTTGGATTCTTCTCTCCGTTTGACCTGATAATCATAAAAGAGAATTGCTTTTGTCACAAATGTCATATACTGGTAAATAGAGTATTTAAAGAGTGAAACATCAGCTGTAAAGTTCAATAAACACATGAGCAAAAGTCATTGAGATCAGGTGACAGTGGGATTAACCCTCACATACTGTTCAAATCCTGTACCCTCACAGTATGTTCCGGGTCAAAATTGCCCCTTCAAAGAGTTCAAAGAGCAGCTTTCTGTCACAGAAAGTTCTCTTGACTAGTTAGGTCATTTTGACCTCTGTCTAGGTGTGTCTGTGTGACTGTATGTCTGTGTGCGTGCGTGCGTGTGTGTGTGTGTGTGTTTCTGTCAAGGTAATGATAGTTTCAGAATAATTTGAATATATCTTTTTGAACAACAAACCTTATATTGAACACTGTTGTTACTGTTTGTCACTTGTCCCACACTGCTAGATCTAAAATCCATCTAAATATAGATACGGGTCAAATTTGACCTGTAACAGCCTTAGAGGAGAAAAATTTGTAGCACATAAACAAAAATACACATGAATATTTTTAAATTAATTTCATGCATTTTGGGACACATCAGGAAAAGTCATCAAGTTTCAGGCTTAAAAAATGATGTTTAGGGTATTTTCTTACTGCTGTTAAAAGTCAAAACGGGTCAAATTTGACCCGAGCAGTATGTGAGGGTTAAAATAGCTATCATAAACCAATTTCTCAGCAGATACGAATTTACTCAAGGATTCAATCAGTTGTTTTCAATCATTACCTCCTAATCCTAATCACAAATTAGAAAAATAGGCATGACAATAGGCATGACAGGAACCGAATTACCCCGGTGCTTTTGTGAAGACTGACACTGTGTACACTCCTGCCTGTCTCGAGTCACGCACCATAAACGCACCTTCTTTTCCCTAAAAAGTAGAGCATACAAAGTACATGCAGTCATCTAAATTAGATAAAACATTGCAAATACATTTATTTAACATGAAATAAAGTGTTTGTCTTGTTTGCAGTTTTAGCTTAGCTGTATTTTGGAGTAAAACAGGCTGGAAAGCTGGTCTACTTCCTTTTCGTAAAACATAGCGAAGCACTGAACAGCAGGAAATTCAGCCTTGGAGGAAACATTGTGGTTATGAGGCTCTCTTTATGTCCCATGACAAGTTGAATTCTTGTTGCGCAGGTGCATTTTTGCATTAATTTTGCAAGTGCAACCTTGCTGTAGCTGGCACAGTGAAAGAAAAACGGCGCAGCACCACACAAGAGCAACATCGCGCCAATTATCAACATAATCATTATTAGCAGCATTTTTTTACAGTCAAACCGCTGCTGGAAGTATAAACAGATTAAAATGAATAATCACCTCACCTCTAAACAATGATATGATATTTTACCTCTTTCATTAACAAATCCTCAGCTTCCCCTCTGGTTATGTTTTTGTTGTACCATCTGTTGGAAGACAAATTAACCACTCAACGGAGGACTAAATGGATGTGCACATATGGAGAGAGAAATGATATCAAACTCACTCAAATCTCTCAAAGTTGTTGCAGTGCTTTACAGCTACACAAACACTGGGAACAAAGCCTGTATTCCTGATGAGGGGCAGAAAAAGAAAAAATACATTCACCACATACTTTCAGTCATCCGCAGTCCTGTTTATTTGACACTGAGTCTCTTCCATACCCCCTGTCATCCTCTACAGTCCACCAGCCTGGGTGGGAGTCATTGATGAGGATATACTCCTGGTCTTTCTGAAGAGTCAAGTCATCATCTCCTTGAGGTGCATAGTCTTGTAGAGCGATGACCGTTTTCTGTCCTTCATTATGCAGCTCCATCTGGTAGAGACGCATGAGAGTAATTCATGCAAACACAATGCACTGTGTGTGTAAATAAAGATCTTTCATATATTTGTTTTTATCACACAAAAGCAGTTTTTAGACTTCACACAAAAGACACACAGAGAAAAAAAAATGTAAATATGATGTAAAAACAGTTGTATTCTGTCTCGCACCAAGCTATATTATAAGCCGTCTCGGACATGTCTGACCGCACTTTCAGGCAATGAAATATAACAAACAGAACAGCTCAGAAACAAACATTTAGAAAAAGGTGAAGAGGTCTGGAAATACGGAACAGTATAGTTTGAAAAGCAAAGACTTCAGGAAAGTTGCTTTCACAATTTAATATAACTTATAATTCATGTAATAATAAGTGGTACCTCTGGATCTGGGAGAAGAGGAAGTGGCTTTTTTGAAGCTGTGGAGACAGAAAATAAAATCAGAGAGTATTTTGCACACGCATTCGAATGTTCTTAACAGCAGTGATAACGGATACTTGACTACCAAGTTATGCAACACAGTTGATCTAAGATAAAATATAAAGACAGCGAGAGATTTATCCTTATCAAGAGTTTGAAACTTCTTTGCCATTATATATGGATAAGGTAAATAAAACACACAATTTTATACACTGCTTTAGTTCGAATACAGTGAAAAAAAGCGATTCCCACCATAACCCTCGGGGTCGTACACTTGACAACCTGCCGCCAGTTTTTCTGATTGTAGGCAGCATCTCCACTTTCCATCCATCCAGAAGTTTGGGTGATATTTTGCTACTAAACAGTTGTTCTTAGTCTCTGTGTGTCAGGCAGAAAAGCAGATATGTCAGGGTTATGATTTTAAATTATGTACCATAATGTAGTTGTAATTCCTTACCCTCTTTGAGAGCTCTGACCCATCTCTGACGGCAATCATTGTCTGGAGCGAAAATGTAGAGGTAGTGGTTGTCATGAAAAACCTGTAGAGATGTTTACACCGCCATGAGTTGCTCTGTCAGGCCAAACCTGTATGGCTTATTCCAATACTGTACCAACTTTATACAACATTATGTCTAACTTTAGGTATAAATGTGAACCTCACCTGAAAAGGGTACTTAAAGTCGCAAGGTATGGGAACATCACTACATACAATCTCTGCACATTTGATTGTATGCAGCTTAATGCAGCCCTTCACCATTGGCTTTTTCTGAAAGAACATGATAGCTTCTTTATGTGTGCTTCATATCAAGGATAGGATTCAAATCTAAATAGCTTTGATGGATCCAGCTCCTAAATAGTAAATATTTATATATATTTCAAATAAAGTCTGTAGATATTGAAAAATGATGTACACTTACCCCGGGACGGCGTTCAGAATACTTCAGGTCTTGGGTGTCCAAAACAAAAAACCTTTCCTTGTAGTTGCAAGGTGATGTTCTTTTCTTTTGCTGAGATTTTTTAATCATAGTACCCCTTAAAATCACCCTGGGAAACATGATGACAGCTTTAGACAACACAAGGAGAAACACCGGAGGGTTCTGACATACAGAGAGAGAGACTAAGCACCTTGCAGTGACAAGAAAAAAGCAGTGTCTGATAACCTGATAGAAGCTGTAGAACTTCCGGCATAAAGTTGTTGCACTTGGTAAACCGCATCCACGGCACAAAATGGGTTGTGCAAACACACACACGCCCATGCACACACACACACACACACACACACACACACACACACACACACACACACACACACACACACACACACACACACACACACACACACAAATTACACATGCACTCATACCTACTTTCACTGACTATGTTGCAATAAGTGTGCGTGAACAGTGTGCTGTAGAGAGAGAGGGAAATTCTGATCATTTTCCAACAAAGTTCACAGCTCCAAAATGAAGCAAAATTTTTGAGTAACCTAAACTTTTAAACACAAACATAGATTAAAGAGTAAATTCAGCTAAGAAACAAAAATTCTTACAAATTCAGAGATACGAATGTGGAGGCAACAGCACCACCATCAGGAAACTCCAACAATCATGTCTGCATTTGGCGTGAGCAATTGACAGCCCTCTTCTTGCCAATATTCACCTTAGGTTTGTTTCAAATATGGAAAAAATCTGTTTCAAGAATGATAACAAAAAAAAATTCCATTTAGTTAGGTCAAAATGAAATTTCTGTCTTGCTATTCATATACCTCCTCATATTACATTTCACCATGGCATTATATTGTAAATTCAGAGGAAAATCTAGCTTTAATGTAATGTCAAACAGACTTCACAGTATGTTTACTGAGAAAATGTGAATACCAGGAATTGTGTCATCGGATAGTTTGCAGTGTTGTGGTGTATAAAGTGTACAGAAGTTGCATGTACCTTTCTTTGATGGCATGTCTCATGCATTTGTTGTGTCTTTATATGCTTTCATAATGTGTTTTAATCTTACATTTTCATGTCTTTTACATTTAAATGTCTGTGAAGCACTTTGATTTAAGGTGCTCTATAAATAAATTTATTAGTTAATTTTGATTGTGCTAGTGTCATTCTGAGTGAGAAGTAGCCAGACTTTAACAGGATAACAGGAGATTAAATTCACACAAGGTAAAAACTGTATCAGCATACAGAAAATAAAAATATTTTTTGGATAGAAAATTGAGCCATTGAATATTTTTTTTATGAAACACAAGAGCCTGGTTGACATTTTTATCATATGTGACTGATTTGTTTGTTTTTGTTTCTTTTTCATTTAACAGACAGGAAAGAATCAGACTGGAGCACTTTGTCTTTTGCTGGGCCTATGCTATGGTGGAAATATTAACCCTCACTCTGTATAATCAGTGACATTTAACCAAACCTATCCCTTTGCCTGTTTGAAACTGAGGTGAGGCAAAAATCACAAGTTTGAATTCCTTTTTTTTTTTTTTCATTTTTCTAACAAGCAATAAGTTCTTAAAATAAAAAAAAATATAAATATATATATATATATATATATATATATATATATATATATATATATACACACACACATATATATACACACGCACACAAAGATTAAGGCAGTATTGTGGGATTTTTGGGTTCAAGCAGATGCCCCTAATAAGCAAGTTGGAGGTCAAAATGTAATTTCAGCAGAAGGACTCTGGTTTAGCCAAAACAGTAACAGAACAAAAGAGATTTACAGTGACTCATTATATCACGGCGTTATTTGACTAATGCCGTTTCATTCTATATTTGATGCTTACCGCTATTGTTTTTAAATGTCTGCACATTTACATCATCCAGAAAGCAGTAAATATACGATACACACTGCCACTCACAGGTCTACGGACGCACACTACTTCCTAACCATTCCAACCAATCAGCTTTGAGTTTGTCCGTTCGGTATGAGTCCAATTAAATCGAAGTAAGAGGGTCACGTGCGTATAGCCAATCGGATAGCGGCTTACACGGAGGTTCCTGTCAGCGTATGGAAGCAGCTAAGCTAGTCATGAGCTAAAAGTCCGGTTAAGGAGGTCTTTTAAATTTGAAAACTCCAGTCTGGTTTTGGCTGCTGAGAGGCAAACCATTCAAAAGTACGTTAAGTATATTTTCTTTAATTGCTTTAAGAGGTTTTAACTTGTGATTAGTTCGCGGACATAAGCAGAAATACTGCTAGCACAGAGCTAGCCACCTAGCTAAGTGAGCTAACAACGTATCTTTGATCAAGTGGATTTGAAAAGCTCTTAACGTTAAAATGTGAAAAGAGGCTTTGGGTGGTTAATGAATGTATTTGAAGTCCTTTTAGTGGTCAGAAAAAACTTGAATGACCTGTGCCTTGCGGATTACATTCGACCCGATCTTCCACAATGATGGTCGGGCTTACTATTATTAAAATACGATGATTATCTTGTTCTATATATAGCTTTTGCTAACATGTGAAAGTGAAGAAAAATTGCTTTTGATAGTGAGAAACAGAGCAACCAAATTCATCCTCGACTTTGGGCTAAATTAAACTATATAGACTTTGCAGAAGAGGAAATGAAAGTAAAGTTTAGCTCCATAATTTTCTGATAACCTGCTAATGACCGTAGGTTAATGATTTTACCTCATTACATCCAAACAACTGAAAGACAGACTCTCACAGCCGGACAGACAGCTGTAGGTCAGTTTGTAGCTCCAAATTATAAACCAGATTTTAAAGAAGCCTTATCGTCACATCCCTTTAATCTCAACATTGTTGTCACACATTTTCAGTAGCTTTAGGTAGCTCTTGTATGCACTCTTAAACGTGTTATCCTTTTCTTCCTCAACATAAATCTTTAAGTTTATTAAGTGGTTCGTATGCCACGTTTGTTCATTTTTAGACCTCTGATTTTAAGTTGTCAAGATGCCTGACAAAGATTTGAGACTATTAAAAATCAACTGTATCAGTACCACCACCAGCTGAGATGTGGACGTGTTTATAAGAGTGCAACAACTATGAAACAATGAGAAAATAGCTTATCTTTTTAGAGTTGTTCTCGCTCAATTTTGCCTCCATGTTGATTAACCATTCTCACCCACCTTTCTTAAATTTCCTCCAGGGATAAATAAAGTACTCTTATTCTGATTTGCATCAGCCTCTGGATAAAAATGTGTGTGTTGATCCTTTTGCTTTGCATGGTGCTTATAAAACATGTAACCTACAAACACCAGGTATTGCATTGTTTTAAAGCACATGGTCTTAAGAGGTACTAACAATACCCCCATGTTCAGATTAGCTCACTCCATATAATCTGCTTTACCATGTTTTTGTGTGTTTTATTTAGATCAGTGGTTCTCAAGTCCAGTCCTCGAGGCCCACTGTCCTGCATGTTTTGTATGTTTCCCTGCTCCAACACACCTGATTCAAATGATCAGCTTGTTAGTAAGCCATTACAGAGCTTGATAACGAGCTGATCATTTGAATCAGGTGTGTTGGAGCGGGGAAACATCCAAAACATGCAGGACAGTGGGGGCTCGAGGACTGGACTTGAGAACCACTTCTTTAGATATACATATACTTTTATAAAAAACTTTTTTCCCTATTTTAGTATGCTTTCTCTATTGCTTTTTTCCTGCTGTTTTTACTCTGTAAAGTGTCCTTGAGTGTCCAGAAAGGCGCTTTCAAATAAAATGTATTATTATTATTATTGTTGTTAATGTATTAAAAACTGATAAGCTGACTGTAATATATTCAATACCAGTGGGTCAGTATATTTAACTGTCAGAGCTTGTTTTGCTACCTTTAAGTTGTGGCGTCAATCACCTATGTTACTGCTATTGTTTACAAAAGCAGGTTGATAAACAGATTGTGTCTGTTACAGGTCAGCATCATGGGTGAACCACAGCAGGTTAGTGCCCTGCCTCCCCCGCCGATGCAGTACATCAAAGAATACACAGATGAAAACATCCGCAAGGGCTTGGCACCAAAGCCACCTCCACCCATCAGAGATAGTTACATGATGTTTGGCAACCAATTCCAGTGTGATGATCTTATTATCCGGCCTCTGGAAAGCCAAGGTATTGAGAGGCTCCATCCTATGCAGTTTGACCACAAACGGGAGCTTAAGAAGCTCAACATGTCCATACTCGTGAACTTCCTGGATCTGCTGGACATCCTTATTAAGAGCCCAGGCAGTATAAAGCGTGAAGAGAAGCTGGAGGACTTAAAGCTTCTGTTTGTTCATATGCACCACTTGATAAATGAATACCGGCCTCATCAGGCCAGGGAGACACTGAGAGTGATGATGGAGGTGCAGAAGAGACAGAGGTTAGAGACGGCAGAGAGGTTCCAGAAACATCTTGAGAGGGTTGTGGAGATGATCCAGAGTTGCCTTGCTTCCTTGCCTGATGACTTACCTCAGATGGAGGGTTCAGATGGTGCAGGTGAAGGGACAAGAACTGTGTCTGCAGCTGCCGGTGTTGGCAGTTCCTCTGGGCAAGCCCCGCGACTGAAAACTGAACCAATGGATGTAGAGGAAGCAGGTGGCAGCTGTATGGCAGCAGGTCAGCAGGACAAGAGTGCTCCTATTTCAAAGAAGGACAAAATGTGGGACAAGGATGCATCTATGTGTGGCATTATAGATGAAATAGCTTAAATGTTGTTGTGTCTTTTTTGTACACCTTTATGAGTTTGTCTTTACTTAGATGTTGAAAAAATGTACTTTGTTTTCATTGAGCCTCATACCTGTACAGCCGTGGATTGCTTCACAGCTACTTTGTCTATATTATAAAGAGTTCTTGTGAAGACATTAGAGGGGTTTAATTTACACATAAAGAAACTGGGGTTACAATTTTAAGTTTCTGTAATAAACCAATAAAGGCATTTGCAGTTGCTGTCACTATTGTCTGATATTTTCAAAATTGTGAAGTGTAGGGTGACCATATTCTGAATCCCCTAAAAGAGGACACTACTACGTGGGGTGGAGTCACGAGCAAAATATTGAAGGTTTTTTGGGCTACACAAACTCAAAACTTTTGACTTTTGAGGGATTTTATAAACTCCCCCCTGACAGGCCAGACAGCCCCCCAAAAAAGAGGACATTTCCAGGCAAAAGAGCATGTATGGTCACCCTAGTGAAGTGATAATATGTGTGGTATGCAGTAACACTCACAAAGCATTCTCATTGAGACTCACATACTGTGTAATCCTGATGGAGTGCAACTGAAATGATTGTAACCTCGTCTTTACATGAAAACAAAGACATGTGGCTGTGATTTGTTGCCTTGTCCCCGTGATAAGTTTCTGTAACAGCAACATGTTACACAATTTCAACTCTTCCTGTCATACCTCTCCATAATAGGATCCTAATTTCTTCATTGTGACTCAGAGCCAAGTCCTTAAGGGCAAGATTTGAGAGTCGACATAAATCAGGTTCATGACTGAGGGCAGTTTTACCACAGTAAGTTTCTCCTGTTTTCTAAAATAGTGTCAGCACAATATTGTACCTCCTTGTTTCATGATAGAAACAAACCGAAGCTTGTAAGAGTTGTGTTGTAACTCTGCAAAACAGGCATTTGATGCAAGTTGTTTTTGGAAGACTTTGCAAAACAAATTTGCCACTTCATGCTTGTATTAGCACAGTACAAGCACATTAATCATGCTTTTCACGATCACGTCTATGAATATTTGAATGCACACTAAATACTGTGACTTCAAAAAGCACTGCAGGCTGCATCTTCATCTCATGGATCCAGAATGGTCTCTTTCAGACCGACCTTACATGACATGTACCTACTTGTATAACTGATATATTAGATTTTGCAACACTCGTGCTCTGCAGCACCATCCTGCATGCTCAAACTGTGGAAGTTTTATATTTTTCTGCTGCAACAAAAAAAAAGAAAAATGCATAAGTGAGCACGTGGCCTTATTGTGAATAATGTTTTTTTTTTTTTTAATTAACTGGGTTTTTTAATGTCAGTAAGTAAAAAGTATGGATATGGCTAGGTGGGTTTATGTCACTACATGGTCACCCCGCCCCCTCTCCCCGGCAGACTGTTATTGTTATGTGCCGGGATTCCCTACGCCGTGAGGTAGTTTCCATTCACTGCACCATTGACTGAAATTACCACCGTTTTCTTTCACGTCTCGTACTAGACCATTAACCTTCTTACCCATTGTTTAATTCTTTCAATTCAACTGAATAAAAAAAAGTTTTGTCGCAGGAATTATGTTATGAAACTCGACATCCTCGCGTTTCACAACAGGGCGGAAAGGCATCATTTTACCCAATCGGAATGCACGTTTCTGCATCACGTGGTCTTTATTTATATAATGTAATGGTGTTACACAGTAACCCAGCCTTGTGGTCGTTGAGAGACGTCGTTAGAGGGGTTGAAAGCGTACAAGGACTTATAAAAAGATAGAATATTCATGTGCAGATATCCCCGTGTGTTTTAGGTTGCCTTCATAGAGTTTGGAGCCACGATGACAGCGTCGCGTTGAACAGTAGGCTGAGTTTTTTTTAATATTACACAAGCTGAGAAGGCGTGATGTGTCCCAAACCAAAGACTAAGTTGAGTGTTAAAATGGATAATGTCAATGGATAAATTTAATAAGAGGAGAATATTTGTGCGGTGAAGAATTAAGAGAACGATTTGTTCCCAGCTGAGCGTGAAAGAAACCGGTGTGGATTAGCAGATGTGATCAAAGAGGGACACATTAACTGTATCGCTTAGCTGTCAGTGTGTTATTTAAATGGTCCATGCGGTACTTTATAGAGAAGCTCCTCCGCCCGCACCGCTTTGACGAAAGAAACACCAGTTCGTCTCATAGGACGTTGTTCTGGTGACATAACTCATCCATCATGGACCTGCTGGAGTGTCCGATCTGTCTCTTCCTGATGTGCGAGCCGGTGACCATGTCATGCGGTCACACGTACTGCCGGAGATGCGTCGGGGGGTTCCTCCCGTCCAAGTGCCCCTCATGCAAGGAGAGGTTAAAACAACGAGAGATTAAAAGCATGAAGAACAATGTCCTGCTTATCAGCGTCGTTGAAAAGTGCTGCCCCGACGAGACGAGGATGAAGTGCCATTTACAGGAGAAGCTCAAAGCCAACGAATTCACGGAAGCTTTACGCATCGCGAACGAGGGGCTGGAATTAGGTAAGGTTCACGTGCTTGAATGATAGAAACAATGTAAAAGTTTGTGCAGGGCAGAAGTGCTGAAAGGGTAACAACTGGTGTGGCTGTGGCTCTTAATATCTTGCATCACACTTGAGTCAGGAGGCAGACAGTTTGGAGTCACACTTTTACGCACTGCTCACCGTTCTCTTGGCTTGTGCCCAGTGGCACTGGCTGATGGTGCACACCAACCTGCACTTAAGAACACAGTCATTATGTGCGCAATATTTATGGTAAGCAATGACAAGAAGGAGGGAAAACATGGATGCAGACTTATTCTTACTGTGATGCTATTGATGACCTGAATGCAGAAGTGGGTCACTAAACTGTCTCATGTGTGCATTCAGAATCATAATAAAAAACACACCACAATCACTGTTTTGAGCAGCAAAAGGAAGATGCTCAGCACAGAAAGGTTGGCCTACTTACACACTTTCACTTTTCCCTCTTGTCCTATCAGTCACACACAGTATGAGAAGCAGTTATGGCAGCTTTAAAAGCTGTGCAACAATATTGGGCAAACTTTTGAAGAAATGCGTCTTTATGGAGCAAGCCTCTGGTATTTTTCTGCAGCCCAGTCACTGTTACAAAAGCAGGGAATGTATAAGAGGGTGTGTTGTAATATTTTCACAGCTAAGTGCCTGTAATTCTACAAAACACTCACCTGCAATTACCAATACTCTGCACTTGCCTTTGCATTTGCTCCTGACCCTAATTCCTTACTTCAGACAGCAGTGAGGACATTGAATACAAGACAGTTTCTGCACTAAATGAGAGTATGAACTCAGTAGGCATCCACAGCATCGTAGGAGTGTTTGTGTTGAGGTGAATCAGCGCTCCATTAAATTACCTTCATGTTTGCCATCTCTGCCAATCCAATTAAACACTGCTGCCTCGCTTGCTTCAGCCCTCCTGATACTCCTGTAATGATCTCCCGGCAGATTTGCGTACATTTGTGTGAAGGTTTGCCGCTGTGTCTGTACACTTTTAGCTCAATTTTTCTTGCACTGGAAAATGTTGCAGAAATTGCCAATCTCAAATAGTGGGTGTTTTTGAGATCTTTGTGCCGCCAAAAGACATGACAAGGGAATAAAGCAACAGATGCTTGGTAATAGCATCTGGGGTGAAAAAATGAACTGTTATGTGCTGCAGGTGTATCGAAGAATTTAAAAATAGTTATTAGTGAGTAGGAGAGCATGATTTGTTTTTGAGGTATACTAATTGTGATTTACCTTAACTTCACAGCCAATTGATATTAAGGCTGAACATATAAAGATGTTACAGTTTTATAACACTAGAGAGTTGTATATGTATCAGCCACAGCTTGCAGTTACACAATGTGTTGAAAAAGGTCAGTAACAGCATAAAAATATCAGGTCAGCGCTTCACACTTTTCACTCCACTACGAAACAAAGCTGAGGTATTCGTGACGCAGACTTCTCCATGCCTGCTGTTACATGTTGAATGTTTGTATGTGCTGTAGAAGGGTGTGTAAATAGAATTGAATAACTAAAGTCACAGGTCTAAAAAGGTTGTTTAATTGTTCACTCCTCTTTTTCCTCTCTCTTCTGTTATTTCGTGTCCTCAGTCCCAGATGATCAGAGTTTGAAAGTGTATAGAGCTGAAGCTAACTGGGGACTGATGTGTTTCTCCGATGCTCTGACAGACCTCGACTACCTCTGCTGCCTTCGTCCTAACTGGACCGAGGTGAGGAGCAAGATGGTGTCTGTGAAACATGTAACACCAGGCTTGTTGCTTTTATGTTTTGTGTATCAACAAAAATTAAAGTATTACAGTTATCCATCAATAACTCACACATAGACTTTTAGTTTGGTAAAATATGTGTAATTTGCACTCTTAACCAGGAGGAAGTTTGCATTTTTTGTTCTGTTGAACGCAGCACGGAAGGATGACCTCCTTAAAGTGATTACCTCTGCTTTTATTGATGTTATGTCATTCGCAAAGTTATGCAAACAGCTACTTATGTCATAATGTCATTTAATCATTTGGTGCCTTGGGCAGCACACTGCAAAATGCATTAATGCCATAATGTATAATCACATTTAGTATTTTATTTTATTTTTTGGGTGAGTTTTTTTTCTCTCCATTCAAGTTCATATTTTGTTTTTTTTTAAAATTAGAGCTTGAAAAGAGCTTAACTGGTTGATGTTATTGCAGGTTTTGTCAGGTTCCCTTAATTTCAGAGCTTTGGTGCTGTCATTCATTAATGCAGGCAGCGATGTGCTGATGGCACTCTTCTCTTTGTGCAGGGCTTCTTTCGTAAAGGGAATGCGCTGCTGGAAATGGGTCAGCAGGCGGATGCCCTCGTCCAGTTCCACCGTTGCCTAAACCTACAAGCTGACTTTGCTCCTGCAAAGAGCCAGATCAAGAAGGTTTGTTTGTCTAACCTGATACAGAAAAAAATCTAAAATATTGAAAGTTGATTGCTGAATACATAGCAAGAGTTAAACCTGCAGCAGAAAGTTATACAACCTCATAATCAGGCCATGACAGATACTATGAAACTGATGAGTAAATGACTGCAATGCAAGAGATTAAATTTGACCAATGTCATCATTGTGTGATTTGTTTCTTTTGGTGACATCATGTTTCATTAGTTTAGAAGTGCCCTGTATGATTGTGCACTCCTCTTAAAGCCTGTTTCCACTATGTGTGTTTGCATTCCAGTATTGCTGCAGATAAAAGATTTGTTCTTTGGCTTTTATGCTGAAAAATGTGACCTGATTCAGAGTTCAGTTGTAGTTTGTCAGGTTTTGGTTATGATAATATTGCACCTCGTTTTATTGTCATCTTAAACAGTAGTTCTGGTGGTATTGGTAGAAGTGTTGTTAAAATACCTCTTAATGTCTTGATACTTATAACCACTAAAGCTCTGTGTCCTTTTTCTGTTTTTTGTGTTAACACGCACAATATCACACATCTCATTTAACTTTAAATGTGATTTCAAGCTGTAAATTGGCCCTTTTTTAAAATCAGTATTTTATCAGATTTTAGCTTTCAGGACAGACTGTACCGTTATACTTTCACTTGACTCGTCTGTGGCTTCAAATCTCAGATCCTGGAGGCAGAGGGCATGGCTGTGCCAGACGACGTGCCCTGCATCCTGCAAGTGGTGTCTGAGTACCTGAAAGAGCCCTGCCCCATCACCAGCCTTGGTGGCTCCCAGGGTCTGACTCACCCTGAGGGCCTCAGACATCCACATGGAAATGATGGAGAGGGGAAAGGGAGGAGAGAAGCTCACCAGGTAAGCTGCACAATCCGGGTTTGGAGGGCATTCACTGTTTCTCTGCGATCTGAATTATTTGTTTGTTTTTGGTAACATAGTTCATAAATCTGTGTCTTCAGGGTTCTAGGGTGAAGCATGACTCGGGTACTGAGTGCTGTCTCAGCCTCTGCCAAGCTGTTTCTTTTCTCCCTGCTGCTGAGGAGGATGAAGAGATGATGATGAGGAAGGAGGATGAGCATGGTAGGGGTATGTATTGACACACACAGTCATCATTGTCTTAATAATGAATCATAGATGTTATTTTCAGCACAAACAGCTTTCAAACAGCACTGTCCTTCCAGCAGGACAAAAACATCTCAAAATTGGCCCGAAGGGATTCAAATTTCTCCCTAAATGGTCCGATAAGAAGAATTACTTTCAACTTTATGGCTTGGCTTCCCTTACGCAGCAACAAATAAAGAAATACTTGTTCAGATCTTTTAGTATATCATAATTTTCATCTGCTTCCTTTGCTGCACCACAAAACAGCGGGTGAACCTGCATCGAACATCATGTAATGTTGTTTTAGTGGTGGCTGGATTGAAACATACATTTTTTCTCTGTCTCTCTCTCTCTCTCTCTCTCTCTCTCTCTCTCTCTCTCTCTCTCTCTCTCTCTCTCATTCAGGTGAAAGTGGCCACTGCAGGCAGAGAACTCTGTCTGTCCTCACTGTCTCCGACTTTGAATGCCCTCTCTGCATTAGGTCAGTGTGTTGGAGTGCTTGCTCTGATCAATAATGCATTGCTGCCCTGTGGTTGCCAGCAGCCGAGTCATGTAACAGTCTGGTCCCCCCTTTCTCTCTTTCTCTGGTTAATGTTTAGCACAAATACCACTTATACACAAAGACTCACTAGACTTACAGCTACCGTACAAACAGCGTAACTATTGTTTTTTTTTTTTTTTTCCTACCGAGCTGTCATAAATGAAGTGTGCGTGTTTGTCTGTTCTTTCAAGGTTATTTTTTGAGCCTGTCACTACTCCCTGTGGTCACACCTTCTGTAAAAAGTGCATAGAGAGGAGTCTGGACCACAACCTTCGCTGTCCACTCTGCAAACAGCCACTACAAGAGGTAACCACCCACAGACACTTTCATGAGTCCATTTTGAACTCCTGTTTTTAGCTCATGAAACAGTTCATTTTAAACGGTGTTTTATTCAAAGCACTTGGCCATCGTTAACTGAACCATGGCAGATAGTAAATCTAAAACAGAGTATGAATTTGGATTGTTGTTATTTTTGCACTACATTTTTTGGCACATTCAGAGTTTGATAATTAATGCATGTGTTTTTCGTGTGTCTTTCTCCTCAGTACTTTAAGAACAGAAAATACAACCCAACAGCCCTACTCCAGGAAATCATGACCCGTCTTTTCCCCTCCCAGTTGGCTGAAAGGAAACAGGTCCATGATGCTGAAATGGCGGAACTGTCCAAGTATGCACCTGCCTCATTCAGTCTGCATGTTGATGTGTTGTTGCCTTATTCTCATTACTGTCCTTGACGTCTTTTTACCTCCTTCTCCCATCTAATTTTTCGTTGTCTTGCCCCTCTCTTTTGTCTCCTGCTTGGTAGTCTTACTAAGGACATCCCTATATTTGTTTGCACGGTGGCCTACCCTGGAGTGCCCTGCCCTCTGCACATCTTTGAGCCTCGGTATCGGCTGATGATGCGCCGGTGTATGGAGACCGGAACGAAGAAGTTTGGCATGTGCAGCTATGAGCATGGGAAAGGGTATGTTATCTATCTACTGTTTTATTCACAGTTCTCAGAACAACCCTGTTTATGTAACAATATGGATTTTGGTAGATAGTAAACTATGTGCTGGAGCGACACAAAAACACCACTTAAGGCAAAAGCCTAGTAGAGCTTCTCTGATGTTTCCTGTTATTTGAACCGTACTCTTTTGTTACTAAAAGACATCTCCCCGACTGTGAGGTGCACTGCAGGGAAGTTGGTGTCTGATTGGATAGATGCTGCTGATGGTGCAGCAGTCACAGGCAGCACAGTGGGCAAAGTTTAAATCAGTCATATGTGACCCTGAGTGGGTGTGAAGGAGAAGTAACAGCATGGTCATAAATCTGTTGTGAGATCTGTTGTGCAGTTTCACCCCCTGATATTTGTTCAACAGTATTTTTTCATGGTTTTGAAATTCTCAGAAAGTGCACCAAATCATTTAAATGTGCTTTTTGAAATGGTGTTGTAAACAGCTTATTATAACAACTCACAGATTAAATCAGCTGTAAAACATTTCACCTAAGCCTGCCTCATAATGTTACTTCACTTCCTGCTTTGACACTGTAGTTTCCTTTTAAACCATTGACAAATGAATGACAAAAATAGTCCCTATACTGAGCTTTTTACTGTCACAAGTTAAGTGGATTTATAAAAAATCTGAGCAGTTTTTACAGCACTTTCAGACAAACAACTAAATACAAAGAGATAAAAAGAGAACTAAATAAAACATGAACCGAAGAGCTGAGGAAACACTACGGTGTTTGCAACCGGACGTAAAAATTAAAAATGTGAAAGAAATTCAAGAAAGCATATGAGAATCAAATCTAACAGAGAAAATAAAGAAGATAATAAATAGTAAAAGATAAAAACAAAAATGAAATTACACTGATAAAGACCTCAAATCACTCAAAAGTTGTTTATTTAAATAATCTACAATAAAATAAAACACAATAAGGTAGCTCAGAATTTTAGTTAGAAGAAAGTTAGAATGAGAATTAGATAAATAATAACAATCATCTAAAGTGAAGGAGAGAGACAGTAGTTCTTATATTAGACTTAAAAAATAATGATTAATGAATTATGAATGGGTCAGAATAAGAAACTTTTAAGTGTTTGTTTACATAAAATGTCTGTGTCTTATGTGTTATCTGTGCTTCAGATTTGCAGACTACGGCTGCATGCTAGAGATCCATCATCTGGAGCTGCTTCCTGACGGGCGGTCCTATGTGGACACGGTGGGTGGCAGCAGATTCAGGGTGATTAAGAGGGGTCTGAGAGATGGCTACCACACAGCTGACATAGAGTACCTGGAGGACCTGAAGGTGAGGACTGTTGTAATCACACACAAGAGGAACAACAGCAGAACACAAAAACAGCAGGATCACTTGTCACTCCTTTTTCCTGAACACGTCTTCTCTTTTTCTCTCCCAGGTTGATGGGAGTGAGCTGGAGCTTCTGCAGCATCTACATGACAGTGTCTACCAGCAGGCCCAGGACTGGTATCAGCGCCTGGGGAGTCGCATCCGAGAGCAGATCAACAGACAGTACGGCCCCATGCCAGAGAAGGAGGACAACATTCAGGTAGAGGACTTACAATTATTGCTGTGACTTAAATTTACCTCACTACATTTCTCAAAGTTTCCTGGAAACCACAGGGAATTTTTTACACGTACCTTTGAAAGTTGAGTATAAGTAGCTCATGCAAAGTTGAAAGTTAGCAGTTAATGGATCTGGCGTCTGAAAACAGATGTAGTGGATAATGAGCCTCTCACTACTATTATACACTTAACTATTTTCATTGTTTTAAATCTGTTTTAACAACCCTGCATCCCCCTTACAAGTAAAGAGAAATCAGCATGTAATTCTTTTTCTAAAAACTGCTTTTGTGAAGTAGTTCTTCACATGTAAGTCGATGCATTTATATTAAGTGGTAAACACTAACAAGATGAGGGGAGGTGAAGACCCTGTTTTCAGCTGGTTTTGACATCTGTTGGAGGTGGAGAGCTCCAAGCATGTCTGTTTACACCTGGGATCAGAAAGCATCACCATGGTAACCTTTTTTGAAAGGGTTTCACTCCTGCACTCTATATGCATATAAATATACACATCCTGACTCAATGAAAAGCGATAATATATGAGATAGTTTGCTGTAAAATGACAGTACAGAGGAAGAGTTGGAGCGTGTGACTGAAAAGTCATGTTGGTATAACATAAACACTTTTAGTGTGATCAGGAAAGCTAACATGACTCTACAGTTTTGTGGGTAATCAATGAGGAGTATTAACGCATGAAATAGATATTTTCTTCTCCATTATGAAACATCTACACTGTGTTTGTAATTTGTGATCTTTTGGGTTGTGTCCCAGGTATTTTCCAGTAATCAGTGAACATGTAGAGTCCTCTCTCAGGAATTTTCCCCTAAAATCCAGTTTATGATAAGAAAGTCAAGGATATCAAGAAAGGACTGAAACATCTGTGAAGCTTAACCTGGCTGCACTGATAAAAATGTTTTCCTAATTATTGCTGCTTTGATAACCTCACTGTTATAGTAGAAATAGCAGAACTTTAGCACCCAAAAATCATGTAAGGACATGGGGGTTACTGATTCTTGTGGGGTGATTCAGACCCTCTCTCTCTCTTTTCTGATTTTTCCTCCTAGTCTAACACACAGTGACACACATCCCGCCTTCCTCTCGCATACTAAGACACAAAGACACCCACACCAAACAATACAGAAAGATGAACACAGAGGAAATTTATGTTTATCACCTAAAACATGAGGATACATGCTACACTAACCGAACAACACATTACTTTGAGTGTGTTTTGGTACGAAACTAATAGGCAAACAATGTTATTTTCTTATTTCTTTTCTTTTCATTATTAGAATATCATATTTTACCATTATATGGTTGTGTGCTGTTTTAGTAGTGCTGCCTTACAGATGTAAGTATGAGCTGTGTAGTTAAGTACTCAAATAGGACAGATTAATAGACAAAATTAAATGCATGTTAGTTCAGCCATCAGTGAATGTGAGGATAACAATAGGAAGTGGCGGTCTTCCTGCTGTGTTCACCTGCTTAAAGTGATATATGCTGATTAGAAAGGCTCTGAAAAGTGAACGCCACAGACTGAAACTCCCACACTGGTTCACCAGAATCCATTAAGTGCTTTAAGAAGCGCTACTGTCATGGTCTGAGAGCACATAAACAATGTCGATTTAGCATTGGCGCTGTTACATAAAACAAAACCCACCTGAACCCATCCAGCCTGATTGAACTGTCAGTTTCCTCATGTAGCGATTTGGATTTATAATAAAGCTTGAGCTTGAGTATAAAAACTACTTTTTGGAATGCGCTTTAGCAAAAATGAAGACGCAAAGAGAAGAAAACGGCGCACTGACAAAGGCGCTGGAAGAGATCGAGATGCCTCTTAGTGATTCAGAAAAACACAATGCCAGATATGAAGCATCAAAGCTTTCCCCATCGATGAATCATGAAGAAAGTCTTGTTCTCAAAGAAAAGATTGAAGGACTTGATGAAACTCTTTACAAAAAAGAGAAAGAACTTGATGACACCAATACGCAGCTTGCTAAGACCACAGAAGATCTGATACAGTCAGAATCCCTGCGAGAAAAAGAAGCAGAAGATGTAAAAACTTTGAAAGCACTGGTCAAGGTGCACACTGAAGCCCTTGAAGCTAAACAGAGACAAACCTCTACCTTACAGCAACAACTCAAGGTAGCTCAAAGACAGTTGACTTTGTCAAGAAAAGAAAGACAAAGAACTTGAACATGTCCAAAGACAGTTACAACACTCCCTCCAGTCTGGTCGAGCCCAAAGAGAACGCATGCAACAATATAAATGTAAAAAAATGTAATATAAACCAAACATTTCTAAACTATTTATTTTACTTCGAGTAAAATTGATTTATACATACTACATTGCTGAATGCAGAACACATCATTATCAGTCATTTGTATTCTTTCACTGTAGTTTTTATCAGTACATGGTCGAGCAGGGTTTTATGACAGAGGTCTGGAGGTCAGCGTTCTGCTCCTCAGACCTTTCCTTGGATTCGTGTGTTCACACACTTAAAGACAGTAAATCTTAAATAGGAGACCTGGGTTGAGGCATGAACGATTAAGTTGGTCAGAGATGGAGTCAGTTTGAAAGGTAATAAAAACTCTGTATCTGTTCTCCAAATTGACCATTTGAGAAGCGTCAGAGGTTTGGGTCAATCTCCGGTCGGACCAATTGGGTAACCTAAAAGTACAAACAAGTCTGGAAAGATTTATATGATCCTGTGTCTTGGGACCAGATCAAGAACCTTTCTTGCTAAGAATGTGTGAGTTTCACACACAGGGTTGTCTTGATGCTACACTCATTTACTTTGCGTCATGCACATTGACAGGTTTGTTCCTCTCTGTGTAATATGTGGTTGATCGGGGAGGAGTGATTGATATGTTTATTGTCTCTGCTTTTTAAACTGTCTTCTAGGCCTCATCCAACGGTCCTGCCTGGTGCTGGTGGCTCCTGTCTGTCCTGCAGCTGGACCCTGCCTATCAAACCACTGTCCTGTCCCTGACCTCACTCAAAGACCGCCTGGGACACCTCCGTCTTGTCCTTGAGTACTTCTCTCAGAGCTAGGTACCACAACACAGTGGTGCTGTTGCTACACCTTGCTGAGAGTAATCAATGCACACATACACACATATAAAAGCAACAAATGCACTTGCACCACAGAAAGGTGTGGTTTTAAACTCTAAATGATAAAGGGATGGTCTAAAAAGCCACAGATGAGGGCCAATCATCAGGTCTCCAGCAGAAAGATAGCGATTTTATTACTGAACACACTGCAAGTGGGTTTTTGCTTCTGGAGTTTGCGCATCTTTCTTGAACCACTTTCTTTATCGAGTGTCAAAAGTTGCAGAAAAGCTCCAAAATATAGAATATTTTCATTAAAACAATGAGGAATTAATAGTTGACCAAAGATTCTGCGTAAGATCCATCAAAAGTGGTGAACTATTCATTTCTGATAAGCTTATCAGTTCATTTTTGAAATTGTGTTTCTGAAAACAGACACTAGGTGTCACTGTTTTCAGCCCCGTTTCAAACAAAAGAAAAAAACAACTGCATCAGTCCAGCTGAAACAGTCTACTTTACTGTCATGCCTTGCTTATTTAGATATTTGAGAAAAAAAAAAATTGAAATAAAAAGTTTTGTTTTGAGTGAGAATAATCGCAGAGGATTGATCAGGACTGTGCATAGTAGAGATTTCACACTTGTGTGTTGCAGATAATCGTTTTATAGTTTGTGAGTTATTTTGATTTTTTTGAAGGGCAATACTTGCAAAGCTTAAGTTTGGGTTGCAGCTATTGGCCTCAGCAGCCATTGAGTATGGCTCATATACTATTGAATAAAACTGAAAGATCCCTGTTTGAGTAAATATTGCAATAATAATTTATACTGTCTCTTAAAATTAGAGGATCTTTTTTTTTTACGAATGAAAGCCGCTGATGTGGCTGCTGCTTTTCTTTCTGATGCTATTTGTTCTCTTTTGGTGGAGAACATCTGTGAAATGCTGACAGTGAGGGATGAAGGTCAGTGATTGGATAGAGGCGTACCTGCTCAGGCTGCACCCCACTTACAGTTCCAACTGCATAATTGGATTTTGATGATCAATATGACATTTGAAAAAAACCTTTTTATGGATGATTGTAGTTTCCAGTTTCTGATTTTAGTGTTTCCTGGCTCTGCTGGAGGGTGCTGTAGAGACAGATTTTATTGTGAAAATGCGTAAGAAGGGTTTTGCTGGTTTACATAACTCAACCTCTGCTGACATCTTGGCTCCTTGTTAAACTCTGTGAATAATAAATAACCATTTATTGGTCTGTTGGTAAAGTTTACAGCCTGTTGTGCTCCTGCTCTTTTCTCAGAACCCTAACCCAGCAAAAATACATGAAATAATAATGAAAAAAGTGAGTCACTTCATCAAAGTATGATTTGATCAGTTCAAACTTTAGGGGGCAGCCTGAGTTCTGTTCTTTAATACACTATGAGCCTGTGTGAATATGTATGTAGGTGGTTCAGTGTGGATGCAGCACTGACTGTGCATGTCAGCTGTAAATAAGGAGTCATCCTCATCATTTGCTACTTCATTAGCTGATTGTTTTGTATTTTTTGTAAATGACATTACATAAGGTGTGGTGAAGCAGCAGCCTGTGGACGCAGCGTTCACGCCTCTTTGTGCAGGGAGCGCTACAACATGACAAATTCAGGGGTCTGATGAGGGGCCAAGTCCCCCCTGTGGTGCCTCTGAGTCGGCCACATCACTTACATCTGGCACCTATGGTGTCTCCCTGCCTGTCTGGTCCCTCTATCATCAGTCATGGTGCCTTTGGTTGCCTGGGCTGGCTCTTTGAGGGACATGCATGTCTTAGACTCTAGACACCACACTGAGGAAGGAGCGTGTGATTTATTGTTTTTATTCTGCTATTGATTTTCATTGATATAGAGCTACATTCCATGGAATGTTAAGAGTTGAAATGCAATGTTACATATAGTTAATTTACTAACGAATATGGGCTAAACTGGGTGAAACATAACAGCTCAAGTTTGTTTATTTGTTTGTTTTTTTAAACTTTGACATATGTGCCATAGATATTTCTATGTTCTGTGTTTTATAGGGGGTTCATAAGCTACAAAGACAACATCAATATGGATGCTGAGTTTAGTCTTCATGCCTTTTTTTATGGTTGATGTTAATCTGTTGTCTTTTCTTGGCCAACATATCACTTTACTCTGAAATAGAGGAGCAAACAAACAGTTTGTCTGATCCAGGACAGTCTTAGTTTGATAAAGCTGAAAGTCAAAGGGGAAATCACAAGGTTCAATACGCACAAATATACAGTATCATATACAGTATCCCTTGAGAGGGAAACCCAGCAGAAAGACTGATTGATTCTGGGACAGCAATCATTTTCTGATGGACAGGATAAGGCCTACTACTCTACTCTGAGCAGGGAACATAAGCATTACTAGAGGGCAAGAAGCACTGTTTTGTACCTGTCTATACGCTGAAGTTTTGAAGCCATCTGAAATATTAATGGAGTCAAAGACTTCAAGGTGCCAGTTACCAGAGTAGTCCCCAGAGTTAGTAGTGTGGATTCCACTGATCTCACATGTATCATAGTTTCTTGCTACCAGACTGAATCACAGTTTACTGGAAACAAAAAGGGATTAAGATACTCTAAGGTTCTTTTTCGAATGGTTGGCCTCGGGACAAATGCATGAACACAAGCTTGCAGATGCCAAGGCTGAACCTCACTCCACTATCCGGCTTCTTTTCTAAGAGGACTTTTGCAAATCATTTTGTGTTTTCTGATGCTCTGCTGCCATTTGTCATGTTTTTCTCTTGTATTTTGAAACCATGCACACTTCTCTGTGGCTCATTCATCTCCAGTGGATGCAAACACATTATTTAACAAAACTATGATATGCGAGGGGATGTCATGTTGGTTAACTACACCTATATAAGAACTAAATCTCTGCATTGGTGCATGTTAAACTTCCCTTTTTTTACAGTAGGGTCAACTTTGGTGCTGTCATTCAATCTACATTGCAACACTCACCCAGATGTTCATCAGCCGTAGTTTTCATATCCTTTGGCTGTCTAATCAACTACTTTCACTGACTCCTCATTGTCTGAAACCGAAAACACAGCACAAGAGACAATGCGTTCTTGGCAGCGTTCCCCCGTGAGAACAAGTCTAACACTTGTACTTGGATAAAAGCTTCGAAAAGCGTGTTCTTACTGTGCTGCAGTTTGCAGGAAATGTATTGGCTGATGTGGTTTGATGGTCAGTGGTCTGTGGGCTGCAAGGACTACAGACATGCATTCTTGTTTTTACAGTCTGTGCTACGATACCTCAATGTTAAGCACAAGTACATTTTAATCCGTAGACACTGAAGCTTTTCTTTCTTATCATATATATTCATTCCTGCACATGGAAGCCAAGAACAGTCAGTTATCTTGATCTGATTATTGTTTCTTTGCCTGCCCCCTGGATGACTTTTTCAATGTTATTATAAATAAAGCTGTTCAAAGCAAACTCCACATTGTCTCCTTAATGTGTCTGTTTTGTTTCCAGGTCATTTGTAAATTATACAGACTATTTGTGGTCGTTAAATTGACATTAGAAGCAAAATGGAAGTGGCGAGATGTATTGCAGCCCACAGCATGATAGAAATGAGAAAGAAAGAGGAATTCTGAGGAGTGTAAGGGGCCTCATGTATTGAATATGTGACATGTTTGCATGAAACTGGTCACATTTCGTAGTGAAACTGAAATTCTGCAGCTGCAAGCGCTTGAGAGGAACCTTGATTTTGCAGATGTGGTTAAGAAATCAAACCTAGGAAAACAAAGAGAGTGTGCATTTCAAGGGGCCGACATAAAATACTATTCAACTGAGGAGCTAAGAACATTTTTAAGCATCTTTCTCAGGGAAACATCCCTTTTACTCCACTACATTTAAAAGACACATCATGCTTTTGACTTCAATACATTTCTATGACATTTAACTGCATGTTGTTTGTCTGAAGGGAGTTAATCAGCACTCAGATCAGGTAGTTAGTTCAGTGGTGGTTGGTTATGATGGCTGCTGCAGAGAACAATCTGGACTCTCCTACTGAAGATCCACGGCCAGATATTAAACCCCAAATGAGGTTTTTTAATATAGAGAATAATGAATCATGTAATCTGCAGCACCAGTTTCACACATTAAAGAGTACAGTGTACTACTTGTCAGTCTTGTCACAGGTGGTTTTATTTGCTTTATATATAATGATAATAATAATAATAATAATAATATCACAAAAGGCATTAACATGAATTTTTGTCTATTTCACTTAAGTAACAAAAACCTCTTTCTTAATGCAAATACTCAACGCTTTATATGAGGAGAATTTCCACCTGTTTTGGAGTAATATTTAACCAGAAGTATCTATTATTTGATTTGTGATGTAGATGAGTTCTTTGGGGGGCACAGATGGCCTAGGGGGTTAGTGCGCCTGATGTATGGGGACCACGGTCCCTGAAGCGGTCGCCGGCTCAAGTCTGGCCCTGACCATGTGCTGCATGTCCTCCCCCTCTCCCTCTATCTCCCTATATTTCCACACTGTTCTATCAATAAAGGCACAAATTGCCCAAAAAATACTCAAAAAAAAGAAGAGTTCTTTGACCACCACTTAAGATTGCCTATTATAGTTTATATTTAACAGCGGAAAATTGCACTTACTAAAGATCCTTTTCTTCGTCATAATTTTGAAGTTATGTCATAAGCCTCTGCAATGGAATATTTAATTTGATGCAAAGTTGTTAGGAGTAAAAACATTACCTCTATTATACAATTATATGTAATATTAGAATGAGCATTATTATAAGCAGCTACATTTTCAATTTAAGAAACCAATTCACTTCAAACACATGCTGCAAACAAATCCTCCACTAGGGGGCAGTCTGTAGCTGTGCAACACTTGAGTCCAGAGTTGGATTTGCTCTTCATAAGCAGGGAGAAATCTCAAAGGAGTGTGCCTTTTTCCACTTCACAAAGGGAAAAAATGAACAATTTGGTGTAAAAATTGGGGTCAAAAGTGACACTTTTGCTGCTTGGTGGGGAGAACCAATCATACAAAACAAGCTGGAAGGAAGTAGTTATTTCCCATGCAGGTGGAGTGTGCATATATTAGTGACAGTAGAACATGTTGTGTGATTGTAGGTGTGCATGCAATGAAGCACACATCTCCATGCACGAGAAGAAAGAAGTGTAACAGGAGTGAGGCACGGTTCTTGCCAACGTTCCCTGCATAGGAAGCAGGCAGATGAAAAGAGGTTTCACTGGCTTCAGCGGGGTTCTGTAATGCAGCTCAGCGTCTACATCAAAGCCCATTACATTTGAAGAATGCCACAGCTTTTCTGTACTAAATTGATCCATCGGCTTGCGCTGACTCCCTGCTTGTGTATGACTGAGTAAGGATGACAGGCGTTTTGTAGGAGTTATCGCAAAGGGGGAACCGGCTGTGGCAGTGTGTGCGTGTGTGTGCATGTGTTTGTGTGTGTGAGAGAGAGAGTGTGTGTTTGTGTTTTTAAGAGGACAACATTTCCTCTGAGGGATAGAAAGATGAAGAAAATCCTCTGCAGAGAGGATATTTTGGCTAGTTTAGAGTTTTAGGTTTTGGGATTAAAGTTGGCATTTATGTTAGGTAAAGGTCAAGGTGAGATGAGAGACACGAAAACAGAAGACCCAAACCCAAATAAGTGTGTGTATGTGTGTGGGAATCCCTTATAATTATCCCTCTTAATTATGGAACAACTCACTTGGGTGTCCACTGAAACAGGCGATCGTGCTCTCCGTGCGAAATAGCACAACAACAACAACATGACAGACACAGAGAGCGTCAGAGGATGAATGTAGCTTGGTTGTCATGACAACGAAACCCAGCCTGGCAAAGCTCAATGTCAAGAGTTGGATTATCAATTAGGAAATTGAGAAACTTTGTCTTTGAAGTGAAAAGCACTTTGTTTACTTTACAGAGCCTGAAAGACAACACCCAGGGAGCTAATTCCCGCAGATATGAGTGTGGTGAATTGAAGCTGAGTGAAGGCGAGAGAAGATTGGGGGAAAGAGCTCAAGTTGCCAAATCTCTCTCACTATGTGTTTGTGTTTTTTGCAGTGCTCAATGCTCCTTTTGTCTGTAATATTTCTCAGTGTGTGTGTGTGTGTGTTCTCTCATGGGGTCTGGAGCTGATAAACCTCGTTTGTTTCTGTCTTTGGATAATCCCCTTGAGTGTCAACAAGATGATAAACCCATGAGTACCTACTCACTCGAGTGACAGTGCCTCTAAGAGCCAAGGTAAACTTATCGGCCACCTGCCTCCGCCTGCACCGTGGGACACATCATAAAACCTCAGATACAAAGAATAACAGACATCCGAAAAGGAAAACAAAGAGACCCAGCCTGGCAAGGGTGGCAGGCTTTAAAAAAAAAATCTCTTTTGTTCTTTCTAAATCCTTTTCTTTCTCTCTCCAAAGAAGACACATGATGATTTAAACCCCAAACTTTTGTGACTTTTTGAGGCGCAAAAGAGATTCTGACCCTCCGTGTTGCATGACTGACAGTTATACATGTCAGGAAAGATGGATGAGATATCCCTTTACCCCGTGACAAAGCTTGTTCCGTCACATCCCCCTGAGAAGAGGATTAAGGAGGGAAAAAATTGTGTGTCTTTTTAGTTGATGTGAAAAAAAAAATGTCTGAAAAAACAAATGAGGCAGATCGGGATCACCTGCTGGTAGATGAAGGGCATGAGAAACAGGAAGCAGGGGGGGCACTGCAGGACACTTGTGGCTCACTGAGTCGCAGAGTAACCACCTGCAGAGTCACACACCTGGATGTGGGGCTGCCTTTATGTGGTTTTCACAGTTTTCTAAAGTGGGCTGTGAGCATGCTGTGTTGCTTGTGTTCATTTGTGTATCTGAAGGACAGAGAGAGGGGCACATGTAATGATAGAAGGACATCCACAGAGTTAGTTGTAAAAGGAGAGATGAGTTTCAGGGATGAGTGAAATAATGATGCTCAGTCTTTTTGTCTGTCATGTTATCTTTATATTAGAATCTATCTAATCTATGTCTGTCCACCAGTCTCGGCACATGGCCCTGTACCAAAAGGTCTGGTTCAACTTCAGTCTTTCCTTACCACCATTGCCAAAAGCTTGCCCATGGTGAATCAAGTTCTGTCATTGCATAAGATGTCTGGTGTATTTTGGTGCTATTAAAATACCCACTGAGCAATAGACAGCTATTAGACATCTAGTTTTTTTTTAGACCTAATTTCAACTGTCTAGATTCTGTATATTTTTAGACAGATTTCAGACGTTGCGCCTTAACCCATTATTTGATAAATATTTATTTCAAAAAGCAACTGTGTACTTAACCGAAATAATTATGATAGCTGTTGATATACAGTGTAGACCTTTGTTAGATGGCTTGTCTAAACTTGGTCTAAATTTAGACATCTAAAAAAACTTTTAGAGCTGGGGTAGCCTGATTTTAGACCAGTCGTCTAGGTTACATTTAGACGTCTATTAGACCTCTTTTAGACCAAAAAATGCTCAGTGGGTAAAAACTGATCAAAGTCTGAGCGTCTCTTGTCATTGTTTTCTCAAACTGCAACTGTCAAAGTCCCTATTAGCAATGCCCATTATTATCCTCTTAAAGCTCACTGACTCAATAGTGGACTAATAAATTAATCAGTTTCAATTCATGCCCAGCAGGCAGACCTCAGCTAATTATCTTGGATAATACCGCAGAAAATTTAGCTCCAAAAAAAAAAAAAAAAAGAGACTGAACTTAAATTATGCTTATAACACACACACGCACACACACACACACACACACACACACACACACACACACACACACACACACACACACACACACACACACACACACACACACACACACACACAACAGGACTCAGAATAAATTATATTGTGCTATAACTGCTAATATAGCTACCTACATCCACCTTAGAAGTTAACGGGATATTCAGGCATAAAATTAGGTTAGGGTCAAACACACCGAGTTAGACACCCCATCGAGAGATGAATTTTGCCGACCGCTTGCTTCTCTAGTTATACCAACTTTAGTAACTACCGCAGATAGCAATACAGAGAGCCACACGCTCAACCAAAACGCCACTCTATAGCCACAAATAATGCTCAGAACAGCACCTAACTTCATCAACAGTACATATAGGGTCCCAGCCATAGCACTAGCCACCAAACATCTTTTTACCTTTGCCTGTTTTCTTGTTTCACATAACTCACCTACTCTCTTCCAGCAGCCATTTGTTTGTGGCGAGACCTCAGGCCAGTCTATTACGGGCTGCAGTGGGGTGACGCAGTTCAAGGATGAACATTTATGATCATTTCTTCATGGAAATGCAATCAGACCGAGATGCTAAGGAAGAAGAACTACTGTGTTTGCAGTGCAAATTTATCAATATGATGATTATTACTTCAAGGAAATGATAAAGTAGTGATCATAACTGTTCTTC